TCTATTTCAGTTAAATTGCACCGCCTACTTTGAATACTTGTAGACTGAGGTATTTCCTCCCATAGGCTAGTCAAAATACATATTATCCAAAAGCTTGTGCGCCTTTTTTTTTTTTTTTTTTTTTTTTTTTTTTTTTTTTTTTTTTAATCCAATCCGCAACTTTATCTGGCATATCAAAAAATTTTGAGATGAAAAAAAACTTGGCAATAGACAAATGCTTATAAGTCGTTTCGCGTTAGCTCGCCAGTAATGTGCGACGCCAGAAATAACTGTATGCGCAAGCCAACGACTAAGTAAAATAATATTCCTCAGCGATTTAGCTGCGAAATTCTCCTCGGCAGGATCCAGCATTATTAGCTGTCACACTGGAGCGATTATACATAAACTCATCATGCAAAGTTGGAGTCGTTTTTTTTCTCTCTGTGATGCTGTGAATAAACTTACGGAAAGCTTTAAGCTAGAGTTTGAACGCATTCATTCAGTCTCCGTTGCGGTTGGCTTGTCCTTTAAGTCTCAATAAGGCAGCGGCAGCCTTTTCAGGTACTATTCTAAGATATACTTTTAGATAAAGATCTACAAATATATCCTTAAAAAAGAATCAAAATCTGGAAAAAAAAATAAACAAATAAAATCGAGTGTCAACAAGCAGACGTAATCGGGCCTCGTTTTTTCACTCTTCTCCCGAATATCTGTGCGACACCTCATTGGCAGCATACTCGTGGAGTGGAGCATTGGCAATGCGTAAACATGCAATGCTGCATTGCGAGTTCACGTCTCACGCCATCACGCCTTCAATTTTTTGTACGCAACACGGACATCCATCAAGTACGAATAGTCGTATCTCTGCGCCGTCATCAAGGCGCGCCTTTTCCCTCACTGTATTTCCATATTGTGTTGATTCCGTTTGTCTTATTTGTGGTACCTAATGCTTTAAAGACTACGTTAGAAACACAGCCGAGGGTAGGAGAGGCGTACCCGCCCTCGTGTTTTAACTTTTTTACCAAACCGGAGCGACACCTCACTGGCACACTAGAGCGGAGCATTGCGAGTTCACGTCTCACGCCATCGCGCCTTCAATTTTTTGTACGCAACACGGACATCCATCAAGTGCGAATAGTCGTATCTCTGCGCCGTCTCAAAACTGGTCCTTTTCCTTGCTCTATTTCCATATAACTTGAAGGGTGCGCTTGATACAATATTCCGCGTGTAACTTCTCGCGTTAAAATGTCCTCTAGGATGGGTATTCCACCTAACTGTTCGCTGCGTTATCTAATTAATTGAATAATATTCATATGATTTATAAGTATGTATCGTCGTTCATAATTGGACGTATTTCTGTCTAACGGAACCATGTGCATTACGACGTGAGCCCTGTTCTGTATATATTCTAATGGGTCTCAGGGCTCATGTCTTAATGAACATAGTTCCGTTTGGCAGAAATACGTCAAATTATGTAGTTTCTGCATGGGTTTTTAAGCTTTCGGCCGAAGAGAAGTGTTTTTTGCTTTTTGATTATTTGAACCCGCAGGTAGCATGCGGAAGTGGTATAGAGTCTTGCCACGATTTAACTTTTCAGCTCTCCGATTCAAGATGACAGACAAGTGCGGTGCCTCAGCATCAATTCTGATTAACTTAATTCACTAATTCATTGTGCGTAAGATATGATATAAATCAATTTTCCAAAATTGAACTCGCTGAAGATAGCATAGTTTCCGCGCATTTCACTGCCAAGGAAAAAGATACAGCGTATTTTATCATATGATCGCTTCTCAGTTTACTGGGTTTTTTTTGCCGTTCGGAATTAGGGTTCGACTTCAGTATTGCTTGAAGATACGCGTGCTTCGTTTACGAGGTTACTTATGGTTGCGACTTTAATCGGGCGTTTTTAAAGAATCAATAGAATAACCCCGGAAATAGAATATTGCAATTGACAATGATAAGCCACCGTATAAAATAAAAAATACGGCAAATACCTAAAATTATGTAATTTTTACAAATTTTAAGGGAGATTACCAACTTTAAAAGTTTCAAAACCTGCAAAATTTTTCATTCTGGTATTTTTTATATTATCTAGAGGCAGGTCTATTTCAAAAGTTATTTCGTCAGATTCTACTTGAGATTTGTTAAAATTTCTTTTATAATGATGGCATGGGTCGTGTTCATAGTCGTTCCTTAACTGGACCACATTTGGCAATTTGGACCTATAATTTCAAGGTCATCGGTAAAAACACGTATGTGCATAGGGAACTCAATAGTACATACGNATTGTGACAACATTGTGAAAATCTTGGAATCACCGAGCACCACCTGACCTTGGATTTCTAATGTTGCTAATATTGGTGCAATATTAAAATACTAAGGTTATATATCCAGTATTGATGGTATATTGTACCAAGATTCTCAGGCCAACCTTACTGTTGAAATATGCTCACAATCTCGCTGAGGTTGCCACAATATTATTCCGATCTGCCCAAGGTCAAATTTCCGATTGGGTCCTAATTTCAAAATGTAGTTCAACTGTTAATACTTCCGATGGAATCCTTAAGGGGCCCCCCAATGAAAGGAGCTATTCAAGGAACGATAGCGAACGCGGCCTTTTGTCTCACTGCTTTCGCTCAAAATTTGCGCAAAAGATACGGAAATATATCAGTTCTGCCGTACTAAGGAAGAGCGTCGTATGAACATTCGAGAGTTGCCAAATTTCCCTCTATAAAATGTTTATATATGAGGTAAGTTATGGATATTCTCCCTTGAAACTCTCAGAAACTTCAGATAAAATTGCAAACAAAATTGCCTATAAAATTGGAAGGAAAATATTATTAAGTTTACTGGGAAATTCGTGTTTTATCAAAGGAAATTTGGCAACGCCTGAGGGCTCGTGCGACATTTTTCCTTAAGCCGGCTCCAGACTACGCGGCATTCGCCGAGTACCGAGCCGAGTCACGAATATTCGGGGTTCGAGAAGCGACGGGCAGATTCGAGCGTTTCCATGAGTGTACAGCGCCACACTACTCGTAAAAGTCGTACTTGGCTCGTCATTTGGCAAATAACGAATTTCTGATGGGATAGGACGAATGTTCGCCAAGTGAAAAAAAACACTGGAAAACGCTGCACCTCTTCGCCCCCTTCCTACAAAACTATAGCGAACATTCGGCGAGTGAGGGCGAGTAGTCTGGATGACACCCCGATGTTGCCCTGATGTCGCGATGGACGCTCGGCTTCGTGCTCGCGATCCCTTTGACTCGTGTCACAAAAACCGACTTTTAGTGGGTTGGGGCGAATGCCGAGCCGAGTGACTCGCCTCGCGTCAACACGAGCCAAGTCGACGCGAATGTGCCATCCAGACTACGCGGGACTTGCCGAATATTCGGTATTCGGCGAGTAATATTCGGCGAATGCCGCGTAGTCTGGAGCCGGCTTTAGCACGGCAGAGTTGCTGTTAAATCCGGGCAATTCCTTTTCCTGACACGCCCCAAGTTCCATAAGAATGACTCTTCACTATGGCTCATCAGATAATCGAAATTTTTGGTTTTAACATTGAATACGGTTCAAATATGCGGCGAGTGGCTTTGAATTCATATTCCGGGCAAAGCCACCGCGGAGCGAGTGGTCAGAGCCGGTTGTGGTCTGTGGCACTACGCGGAGCGGAGGAGGGAGGGGGGGTCAAGGGGGCTCATTCTGCATTCCACAGGTTTCCGATCCCCTGCTCCATGCTGCGTGGCTCACTTTCCCTACTTCCACTTCCGGCTCAGATCAGATGATGTCACCTCACAGAAAATGTTCCCTATATGTTTACTGATGAACCAGGGGGGGCGATCCAGGCCGCTCTTTGCCCATGGGAAAATTGCCGTGCTAAGGTAGAACGACGCATGAGCCATTAGACGTTGCCAAGTTTCCTTCGATAAAAACCGACTTTACTGGGAAAATTTTTCAGTATTACTCTCCGAAATTTTCAGACAATTTTTTACGAAATTCATTCTAAAGTATCTGAAAATTTCGAGGAAAAATACGCATGAATGTCGTCAAAAATACATGTTTCATCGAGGGAAATTTGGCAACTCTCGAATGTTCATACGGCGTTTTTCCTTAGCACGGCAGAAAAGATCTCAGGAATGGAGCTCTTGCATGTCTCATGGATTGGCGACTCAAGCACCGCTCGTGTAAAATTTCGAGGGAAGTACAATTGTGCCATTGGTTTTTTCTCTGAAACGAATCCTCTTGGGGGTCCATTGGGGTTAAAATTTGTCATACTCTTCAATTTAGATGCAATCGATTTCGGAGAATTCACGTCAATTGCGCGACCACAGAGACATCTGTCCACTCTTTTGGGGCCTAAGTTTTGGGCCTAAGGTGCGCCGATTTTGGATTTTTAGGCGTCGCCTCCAAGGGAAATTTTCCGTTCTTCTCAAGTTTGATGCAATGGAATTGCAATTCGGTCGGAAAACTCGACTTTCAGGATCATGACCCCCCCCCCCTCTACCTCCCGTCAGAGGGAGCTGGGGGAGGGGGAGATTCCAGAACCATGAAATTTTGGTCGTGTTATGCAACTCCTCAGTTCCTGATTCCGTGCGGGCTAAAACAACCGAGAAAAAAAACCTGGTACGCATGGAAAATTATTAGAGTAACAACCTGTATAAAGCATGTGCGGAGAATGACAGATAGTAGGTTGCCCAGAAAGGTATTTGATTGGGTTCCTCCCGGAAGAAGGCGGCGTGGACGTCCAGTAAAAGGTTGGCGGGAGAGAGTGGAGGGGGAGATCAGACGGTGTAATCTGCCCGATGATTTGTGGGAGGATCGATTCCGATGGCGATTTGGAGTCGCAGAGCGCTCTAGTGCGCTGAGATAGCGGCTTGAAATGTATATACCTGCATAAAGCCTAACGCCTGAGGCGCGAAGCGCGAAGCGCTTCGGACCCTAGTGTATTATTGTATCTCTTCATTCAATTCTATGAAAATCTTCATATCAAAGTCTGCAATACTTGTTTGTTGACTGTGTTACAGGCTGCACGGGTCATATGAGGCGCTCAAATACGGGACTCTGTTGGACGGACTAGCGGACCTGACGGGCGGAATCACAGAAAGCATCAATTTGCGTCAAGACCCCACCTCCTGCAGTCGCATCCTCACCAAACTCCTCGACATGACCTCTTTAGTCACCTGTTCCGTCCAAACCCCACAACAGGTACGATTTTCAATAGTCGAGCAACATTTTACAATAAGGAACTACTGTAGGTGTGCCTCATTTTACGAACAACAAATGTTCAATTAGTTCCCCTATGCAGTTAAGTGATTTCACGGATGAACTAGAAAGTGGAGTTCCAAATGGGCTTTTAAACTTTTGCTGGAGCAAAAATAAGAGTTGTTTCTCGTAGAAAATGTCTCAAAAACTACCGTGAGCGCATCGGCAAATTCAAGGGTTGCATGTGAATTCGTAGTGGTTTTTCACGGGTAACACGGGCCCTGGTACCAGGGACCCAGTCCCAGTATCTCCCCCCCCTTGTGGCGGGCCAGCCTTCATGCACGCTGGGCTTATCGATTTCCATTGACATTTTTGCAGTGGTGAATGCATAGCTGAAGTGCGCTACAGCTAGAATTGTATATAGCAAATGGATAATTTTTATAGGGGGATTATATCTAAACATGTGGTTAGAAATGGAAACAAAATAATATGAACTATGCAAAACGATAATCCGGGTATCGGAACTTGGCCGTTATGAAAACGCCTTCAAATGCGGCGTGATACCTCACACATTCCGGAGAGTTCAAATAGTTGTATCATTGCGCCGTAAGAACGTGACGGAAGATTTAAATGGGAATAGCCTCCATGAACGCTGGGCGTGTCGATTTCCTTTGACATTTTTACAGTGGTGAATGCATAGCTGAAGTGCGCTCCAGCTAGAATTTTATTTAGCAAATGGATGGTTTTTCTACGAGGATTAAAAATAAACGAGTGGTACGGAATATAACAAAAGAATATGAACTATGCAAAACGATTATTCCGATAGCGGAACTTGGCTGTTTTTAAAACGCCTTCAAATGCGGCGTGATACCTCACGCATTCCGGAGAGTTCAAATAGTTGTATCATTGCGCCGTAAGAATGTGACGTAAGATTTAAATGGAAATAGCCTTCATGCAAGCTCGCCACATCCCATCTCTGGCCTTGGTACCAGTTTTAAGGTCCAGGCCCCAAGCACGGAGGGGGGGGGGGTCCGAGGGACATCCCCCGAGAAATTTTAGAATTTATACGACTAATAGGACGCATTTGAAGCTTCCATAAAGAATTTTTCCATCAATTTCTGCGGAATCATTATGTTTTTTTTTTGTTTTTTTTTTTTCCTTTTTTTTTTCTTTCTACTTTCATCACAAAATACTTGCGAATTGTTGCATTCAAAACATCTGGAAAATTTTTATTTTTTTTTCGGGGGGGCATATGATACTATTTTCAGTTCTAAGAGGGTCAGGCCCCCCTGGACTCCCCCTTCGTTTGTCTATGGCAAGGGAGTTGAGCCATGAGCCATTGAAGTCGAGGATGCCCAGACTGGAGACTCTTAGCATCTGACGACGGAAGAAAATGAAACGCAGTTACTAAAAATATCCCTCTGTGCTGAAAATCTTGCAAATAGATAGAAATTTTCCAAGAAGTATACATCTTTGAAAATTTAAGAAGAATTCTACAGTGCCCCAGCGTGTTTCTGAAAATCTATTCACCTTTTGCGAAATTTTTAGGGTAAATTTTTCGCTTTTTCTTACGAAACAAGGGTTGCATGTGAATTCGTAGTAGTTTTTCACGGGTAACACGGGCCCCGGTACCAGGGACCCAGTATCCCCCCCCCCCTTGTGGCGGGCTTGTGTATAGAGACCTGTAAAGATCGTCGGCCCCACGATTTTCGGAGGTAATCGATGTGTGAAGGTAATCGATGGAGAAAAAACGTAAAGAGGAAGAATAAGTATCGGATTTACCGGGGAGCACGAATATTTAGATATCGCGCGTCCGCTTTAATTTCGCCTTCAATTTTTCTGTATTGGCAGCAAACATACCTGGGAGCGCCAATAGTTATCTTTCCGGAAAACAGAATTAAATCGCACCTGGAGGCTTCGATTGAACGACGTTATTAACCTAATGAAGTTCGCCTTCGGTTTTCTGCATAGGCAACAAACATACCGAAGGGCGCGACTAATATCTATTCGAATAATACGTACTTTTTTGGCTTCGTGAACTTCGATTGAACCGATAAACGACGTTTTGAATCCATCATTGGCTATCGTCCTAGCTTGATATTGTGCCTTACCATATTTTTTTTTTTCTTTTTTTAATTCTTTTTCCCATGGGGAAAACTTCTGGACTCGTTTTTTGTTGGAAGATGTCTTCCAAAAACTCCTTTTCCTATTTTACTTTTGCCAAACCTCTCCCTCGCAGCCTCTCTCTCTCTGAATCCGGACTTACTCGGTCGTGTGAGATGAGCCAAAACGCCTTCATTTTTTTCGATCGTCACCATGAATGAACTTGTCAAAACCGTACTCTCAGGTTTAAGATGACGATAAAGTTGTTTTGTTTCTCGAGCTTGATCTTTGCTTGTTGCAGATACGGAATCAAACAGAAAAACTGGCCAATGGAATCCAAATAGGCACCAACTATAGACTTTACGCTGTCGAAAGGGTAAGTCCATAAATCCAATCCGAATTCGAATCTGGAATACAGACTTAAGTATTTTACAGTACTTAGAAGTTGAAAGGAAGATCAGTCAAACGCACTTCCTACAATGGTAGAAGCGGCATTATTTAGGGATGCGCTAGTTTCGCGAAGAGACTGGGAGAAGCTTATACTTACTTTGCTAGAATCAGTTCTGACCTGACCACCGAAATAATAAAATTGTACATAATGTTGGTATAAAGTGAACCAAGTATTATCCATTCAGTTAAAAAAGATCGTTGAATTGAAGGTAGAAAATGAAAAATAAATATAACAGAATATCGCAAGGACACGCGAACAAGCGACCACTTCTTTTTTCTCGTGATCAAATGTCATTCATCCAAATCAATGCCAATCATACAATGCTTGACCCTGGCGTATGAGATCAAACTAAAACTTCTGATAAGGAAGTGTAAGCGTGAAACTCTTTTTTCAGTCTTTAAATTATCAAAATCCGCCCACAACAGGTTTTAAACACTAATTGCAATCAGGGCCGGATTTAGGGGGTGGCCACATGGGCCGCGGCCCATGGCAGCAAAAGGGGGCGGCAAATGTTGCAATTTTTTCAAATGTAGGTATAATGAAAATTGGATTCCGAAAAAAAATTACAAACGAGAAAAGGCGACAAAATCTTTCATTGCCTAAGGGTTAAAGTATAGTAATTTCTAATTTGTTCGTCTTTCGGTGATACAAGAGACAGCGCCTTTCATTAGTCTAGTTGAGAGAGAAACCAAACACGCAATATGGCCTGGAACGGCGCGAGCAAAAGTCCCCAGCGCGCCGGTCAGCATGAAACACATAGGTATGAGCGCCTACAAGACTCCATGAATACTTCACGCATTGCGTCAAACGCAGTGTGGTCAGCTCAGCAGCGGTTGGCGTAGAACTCATGGTGCCTACAAGACTGCATGAATACTTCACGCATTGCGTCAAAAACAGTGCGGTCAGCAGCGGTCGGCGTGAAACGCATAGCGCCTATAAGACTGTAGGGATACTTCACGCATTGCGCCAAACACAGTGCGGTTGGCGCGGTGGCGGAAATTAAAATTATTAAACCACATTCATGTTTATTCTTTCATAATTTTTTCGTTCATTTCTTATTAATGAAAGGCCTTGTCTACACAGAGATAGGTTTACGGAACGTCCCTTTCGCGCAAAGTTCTGTGAACTTTTGCTAGTGTTGACAGGGCTTTCACAAAAAATGTGCCCAACACGAGAAAACGCGTCTTATGCACCCCACCTCCTCCAGCACGTTCACTTGACGGTTTGTATCGATGTGTCAAAACGAATGAGAAGGGGGCGGCAAAGTACAGGCGGCCCATGAGCGGCAAGTAGGTAAATCCGGCCCTGTTTGCAAAAATGCTTAGGTATTTGATGATGAAGTGTCAATTCTTAGTGCCGAAAACGCGAATCTCGGCATTTCTACCATATTTTCTAACAGTTGGAGAAAATATTCAAAATGCTGATGGAGTCTGGAAAAGCATTTTATTCTTGCTATACTCAAGAAATATTACCCTTCTACTGACAATAAGGAGGAATGTAGTCATTTTTTTTTTTCTCTCCTGGAAAATCGTGTGTTTTCCAAGACACGCGCTTCTGCGCTTTCACCATCGTTATGTCATTGTTTATTAGACATGTATCAGTTGTGTCATCATCATTAGCCAATCAAATAGTGTGGTTTAGCCATGGACCTTTATTCTCTTGGTCCATGGTTTAGCTCGGAAAAGGGGAGCCGGAAACGGGGAAAGTGCCGAGCCGGAAACGGATGCGCGGGAAGCCGACCCGAGATGAAAAGCTATGACCGGAAACCTTCTTACGGCGGGAATTTTAAACACGAAGTTAGCGCTGAGGACGAAGTAATTTTGATTTCCTAACAAATTTTGCATGAATGCAATCATGTGAGGTTGAAAAATTGGATAATTTTAACCCAAGTTGTAACCATTAAGTTGATTTTACAGAAATTTCAATCAATTTTTTTTTTAATTTTTTCAATCAAGTGAGGAGAAACTGAGTAATAACTAGATGATCAGAATTGCAGTTGTTGCAGCAAACTTCCTCCTGATCCTTTCCCTCACGTAAGGTTTAATGAAAATAATTTTGAGAGAGAGACAAGTAATCATCGTTCTCAAAGCTAAATTTTGTTCTTAAAATTCCCGCGGTTGGAGGGTTTCCGGTCTGACAGGTCGTCTTTCGGTTCTCGGATCGTCGGCTTTCCGCACATCCGCTTCCGGTTTGGCATTTCCTTTCCCCCGCCGCGAGCTTAACCAAGCTATTTGATTGGCTAATGATGATGACACACACCATTGACACATGATTGATAAACAATAACATAACCAATATGTACCCTGCATGAATATATTTGTGTTTGGAAATTTTATCAGACTAATTGGAGATGGAGATGGTCACCACCATTTTCGATGTAACAGCGGACCTTTTCTTTCAACATACATGGATATTTACCTAATTCTGAAAGAGAAATTCCCCATAACATTCATGTGAATTCACTGAATAGAGTTCAATGCAGGTATACAGTTTCAACTAGTATGGTAAATTTGTTAGTATGTAGCAATCTTTTGACATTTTGCTTCCCACTCGTCTCATCCAACCATTAAGTACGATTTTCCTGATTATCAGTCCTATACTTAAGGACCTTTTTTCAGGATGAAGTTCAAAATTTTGACTACCTGTCTTAATCTTACAGGCACATCCTATTTTGATTGCCACTAATTTCTCAATCAGAAAAGGCTGCGTTTAGTGTATTGTTTTTTTTTTTGTGTGTAACCTTTGTTTGACCAACTTGTATCTGATTTCAGGTAAAAACGTTCAGTGGGGAATCTGTGCAATTAGTAAAACTTTTAAACCCTTTAGGACATGGAGGAGAGTACCTTGGTGACTGGGCGCGGGATGCGGCCGATTGGGATGAGGTAACTTCTCCAGAAAAAGAGAGGCTAGGCATTAGGCACATGGCCGATGGAGAGTTTTGGTAAGGAAAATTTGTAATATCTTATTCAAATTGCATTACGTGTTTAGTCCCCTAAGGCATGTCTGCCTCCATTATTCTAGGGGTTGTGGTGCCAGCTCCATAATAAGGAGGTCCTGTGTTCGATTCCTGGCCACGCTACCTGAGACTGATGGTTTCAATTAATAGCTGCCTAGGGCTGGTTAATACACAAGGACTGCGCGGGATGGGGCAATGTACCTGGAAAGGGCATGATCACCCCCTCGGAGGAAATGTACAAAAACAAAAAAAAGCCTGTTTAAAATTTCACCTCTATATTGAAAAGGTGCGAAAGATAATGTGGAGAATGACATCGTGCAATGTATCAGGTCCAAGCAGTTGGTCTAGTATGGAGATGTCCGAAGATGGCAGACGATCAGTTGCCCAAGCAGGTCTTCAATTGGGTTCCTCCCGGTAGGCGACGGCGTGGAAGTCTTGTAAAAGGTTGGCGACAAGGAGTGGAGGAAGAGATCAGGAGGTGCCACTTGCCTGATGATCTCTGGGAGGATAGGGGGCAATGGTGATTGGGCTAGGCAGACCGCGATGCTGCGCTGTGAAGGCAGCTTTATGTATGTATGTATTATAAAGGCTTTGAACAATGTTTCCTGTCATCCGTGATATTTGTAGCACATAGCGACAATGAAGCTGCAGAAATGCATATCTGGATTTGCGGCATTGCTGACTTCCTGACATATTTTAGTTTTTACATACATTGTCCAACGTCATGTTTTGGAAACTTCAGTGATTTTTCTTTTCTGTTTGAAGAATATTCTGTGAAAGCTAAAAGTTATAATGTGGGTTTGGTGCCATTTGTAAAAAAAAATTGAAGCAGAAATTTTAAACACTGCAACCAAGATAGGCGTTTTTACAGTTTCACCCTCATTATACATATATATATATATATCTTATTGGAGGAAAAATAGAAAAGCTTAGGTAAGATCTAGATGATCTTCTTCTGCTGAGCAACTGCAGAAAGTAACATCATAAAAGCGTTTCAAAAGTGTCGCTGCAACTTGAAGTTTGGCAGTAATGTTGTGACTATGTTTTTACAACTACTTTTTTCTGGACAGGTGGAGAAAGTTATGTTCAACAAGCGTTTCAAATTTTATTTACTCTTTTGTTGTAACTTTTTTCAATTGTTGTATCCAGCAGATAGATATCTAATTTACTTTTACCACTTTATTTGCAGGATATCGTATTCAGATTTTGTTAAGACGTTTACTCATTTAGAGGCAGTTCATCTAGACAGCGACACAAGTAGGGATGAACCTTCCCTTCATCATAAACAAACCTGGCAAATGAGACTATATCAAGGCTCATGGCAGAAAGGTGTCTCAGCCGGTGGTTGCCGAAATAATCCAGGTGCGGGTTTGGTATTACTATGTTATCATATTTTTACAATATTATGTATTACCATGGCAATACATTGCATTCATCTCTGATATTCTGTAGATATTATAGATGCGATAATGATAATTATAGAGTGAACTGCACATCAGGTTACCTAGCAGTCCCAGCAGAGCGTTATTAAACTACCACTGAGCAAACCAGTGACTGAGTGACTAATAGTTACCGTTGATTAGGCACAGTTGGATTACATTTTGCAACTTGGAACTTCAAAATCTGGCTTATCCGTAAGAACGCTCATGCACATTGGGAAACTAATGGTACATATAATGTTTCTAAACTGAGGTATAAAATATAGCAATCGCAAAATGAAGTCCAATTTAACACACTATGGTGATCTGATTTTATTTTAGATTGGATCTTTCATGTTTTATTTTGTTAGATAATTTACTTTGATTTATTTGAGAGGGAAAATAAGTTTTTCTAAGCTGAGTGTCGATCGCAAACTGCAATATTTTTTTTTTCTCGTTGCAGAAACCCTTCACATCAATCCTCAACTTCATCTAATTCTCAGTGATATGGAAGAAGTCGTAATTTCTCTGAACCAACATAGTATAATGGAACCAAAAGTAAGTCCTATTTAAAGTAATGAAACAGAACATGTGTGTACTTGATACATCTTACAAACGCTCTTAGAATTTTATGAATTTATCGCTGATATTGATTCTACTTCTGTTAAACAGTGCTCCTGTTGTGATTTCGGATTTGTTAATCAAAGTACAACAGCAAAAATCTTTTAATTTTTTTGTACAAATAGTTAAAATAAAAGGATCAAAGTTAAAGATCGAGTTAAACTGAAGAGGGCCACAAGTTGAAAAAAATACCAATTTTTTCCGGATGAAAATCCTTACTTATTTATCAGAAATACCCTTCAAAAATTTACCCACAAATAACTGAAAACTTTCTTTAAATATATTGGAGTGTTAAATGCAAAGTTTCATTTCCTTGAAAAGGAAATCTGTTGTCTTCGGTACCTATGCAAGAATGTGTTCTAATACATTCTTTTTATAATAATGGCACTGATAATGGCCAAGGTTTTTGAAGTGCAGAAGTAAGCATAATTTTAAATTTAAATAAATTTAAGTGAAATTTCATGGGTAAACTTTCACGAAGATCGGTAGTCCATTTTACCAAAATTTCATATAATTCTTAAGGCAGATTGATTATGATTAAAAGCACCTGATTTTTTTAATATTCTCAGTTTTATAAGTTGTTTTTGTTAATTTTCCAGGTCATTGGATTTTCCGCTTATTCTCTACCTAAGTCAAACTCAGAAACCATAGATAAATCGTTTTTCAAAAAGAATAAATCTATTGCCAATTCTCAGTACACCAACAGCCGGCAGGTAATACTTTTCGCGCCTTTCATTTTATTTACTATGCTGACAACTTATTAGGCGATGCCATTGAATAACTTTTCGAAGGTCCTTGCAGATTCCATTAAGACTTGTAAACTCAAACATTTTGCAGTGCATCAAACTAATTTGTGCAAGTTTTTCAATTAGATGAATGCGTAGATTTAGATGCTACGACCAAAGAGCACTCTTTCCTGGAAAATTTCTTCTCTGGATTTATTTATTTTATATCATGTCCTCTAAATGTTCAGGTGAGTCACAGATGTCAGCTGGAACAAGGAGGTTATCTAGTCTTACCAACCACTTTTGAACCAGGCCAAGAGTCAAGTTTCACCCTGAGGGTATACTCAAGTAAACCCTTAAAACTGAAGTAAGTATACACCTATTTTTTATATTTTTTATTTAGTATTCCGCCTGGAGCTTACAAACTTTTTCAACCAAGCATAACTTGTCAAACCTAATAAACTTCTGATGCCTCAAAAACATCTCCACACTGAGCAGTGGTGAAGTCAGAAACTTGTCATTGTGGAATGAGATTAATAGTCATGAAAGAGTTTCTTACCCCTCGAGCCTCCCCTCTCCGCTCTCGACGATGAGAAACCTTGGAGAAACATAGAGATTGTTTCAAAAATTGAATCCTCTACAGAGGGAGTGCCAAAAATACTCTTGTATTGAAGCATTTTATCAGCCCATACTCCTTTTTTTCAAAACCCACTTCAAAGATAGATCAGCCCTGTCCAATGATATCCATTTCATACACATCATTTTTGTTAAGGCACACAATGAAAATGTACTATCCTATCACATCAGCTCCCAATATTCCGTGTTTGTAAGTTTTAACGGACCACTGGATAAGGTACCAATTTAAGCATTTTAATACATGATAGCTCATTAAAATTGCATGTAGAACGCTATTCAAACAACGAAAATTGCTGTTATTTCCTAAATTAAGATATTAAAGTTTTCATTTAGCATTGGGAACGAAAAAGTTGAATTAGGTACCTACTCTCAAGAAAACCCAGAATCTACATGAGTTAAATCGCACACTGGGATGGTTTTGGCAGGCCTCTTAACAGAGCAGCATTCTGTCTTTGCACTGTGTCGTTTAATGCGTAGACATTGCTCAACAGCTGAGCTGAAGTGTCGAGATCAAGGTTGTCATGTTTTCATAACGGAGAAACTGTTACAGTTATGTTTAATATGCGCTTTGATTCAAGTAGGTACTTACATAATGGTTTTTTTAAGAACGGAAAGTTAAAATTTATGATAAAAATGTGAACAATTTGGTCAGGAGTTACAGTGAATAATTTTCGTTGCACGGAACAGGTTCTATGTGAAATTTTGTCGATGAAATGTATATCAGAATTCTTAAATTTGCACCTTGTCAAGTGGGCCATTCCAGTCAATGGGTCACTCATAAGTGTTTTTATTTTTCAGGCTTTTGGATACATATCCCTCTTTGTTGAAATCAGCAGTTGTCAAGGTAAGATTCTTTTGAAGTCACTTCGCACCATCATATCAGAATGTTACATTAGAAATTTGCTATCAGTTCTTGAAACATTCTGTGAGAAAAGGAATCCTAGTTCATTTTGCAGGAGGAGGAAAATTTTCTCATTGATTTAAGACTGAAATAACATTCCTCAAGTTCAAGTTTTTGGAGAAAAGCAACTGCCCTTGTGATTAAAGTGACGATTTTGATGAAATCGTCTTAAAATTTCTTGTTTTAGCCTCAATTTGAGCTTGTAAGTGAAGAGCATGTTATTTTTTGCCCCCGTTTTGGCTTGTGTGAGGTCCGGTTTAGACCCTCGAACATTGGTCAAATTTCTGCAAAACTAGATTCACAAATGAGATTTAACTCAACAAAAACTATTTTAATGAACCAGTGTGCAAACCAAGGTAAACATTTTTACAGCTTAGACTAAATCTGAAAACGCTCAAACCTTTTCCTGTTGAGTCTAGTTAAATTGTCGAATAAGTTACTTTTTCAAAAATAAAGAGCGAAGATTTTCATCTTTTGTCGATGGATACCCTCATTCTGAACGTCAGTTTTATTAGTGTTACTGAAATGCTTATCTCAAAATTTTAAGTAATTTTATTCACTGAGAAATATCAATAAGAATTGCTAGTCATTTGAATTTCAGGTAAATTTACGAAAATAAATTTTTTAGGCTTCAAATCTTTATGGAGTATCAAAGGATTTTTTTCTAGGTTGTTCTAAAAGTTTCTGATCAGGGTTTCGAAGCAGCTGAGCGTGAGATCAGAGTAAACAACAGTTCGACCCATTGGCATTGGGTTTGGGGCATCACTTTCTCCCACAGTTGTGCCAAACCAGATTTTAGTTCTTTTTAAGTTTTTTATAAGTACTAAATCCTTTGTTAGGGTTAATTTAAGACTCTTAGCAATCCTTATAAATTAATCAACAAAATGTGAAATTGAAAGCTGTTGCCCAAATTTTTGTCCAAAACAGTGCCGAAGATATCAAAAAAAATTTGCCTTATTATTTTTAGCGATGACAATTAGTGCAAGAGCCCGACCCCCATCTCTATGAAGTTATTTTTAGTTGGTGTTAATTTAATAATCAAGTTTAAATGTATTTTATCTTTTCCAGGCTCCTGCTACGCTAGATGGGAAAAGCTTTAGTCAGTATGAGGCTGTGTTTTTACAACTTGCAGATGAGCATCGGACAGTAAATGCTTTTGAACTGCAAGAGCTTTTAGACGCTTGTTTACCGAATGGTGAGTTGCTCAACATAATTGGTGTTCTTAATATTTCCGCGTCATAAATAAAGGGAAAGTGATGGGTGTAGAATTTTGTAGAGTACTTTTTTGAAGGACCAGATAAATCGGTCAATATTATCCCCTTCATTGTCTCGTTTGCAAAATCTGCCCTCAGCTAATCGTTACTGCAGCATTTCCGCCATTAATCAGCATATCTCTATTGATGGAGGAGAATCTGAACTGCAAATTTTGCTAATTTCCAATGAAGTTCGTTGCGATTTGTTTGCATGACATAGAATTTCCCTTCAGGTGCGAGTGCAGTTTTGCACGCAGAATCCAGCCCGGTAATGATAGGGTTAAAAACAAGTCATCCAAGTATTAAATACATAGAAGGGGAATGTCCGGAATATTTAAAAAAAAAAAATAAAAGTATTAAATACTTAAATTCAGTTTAGATTTTAAATGTACCCTCTGAAGAGTTCCCAAAAAAAGATGTCCTGCTGTTTCAGAAAAACATTCTGATAAGTTATGAATAGTGAAAGGAAAATGAGCTCTTTTGTGTATAAGCCCCTACTTTTATTTTCTCTCTTTTCCTTGTGGTTTATTCTTCGCTTTTGCTGTAATTCTTAGATTACAATGACGTCTGCAGCTCGTTTTTAGATTCAATCATATTTTCAAATAATTTTCCTAATTATTGGATCGAATCAAGCGAACTCATTTCCATTGCCAAAAGGCCCTTTGGATTTCTTGAACTTTAAATAGAATTCTGCTGTGACTGCAATACAATGGTAAAACTGAAAAAATGCATTTCTCGATTGCAGTGTTTCAACATCTCTGCCTTTATTTTATCTTTCAAAAAATGACCAAACCACCATCATGGTTTGAAATCTTCCCAGAATATTGGTTACACATGGTAAAAAATCATCAAAGTTTTCAAGGAATAACATTGAGTAGTTTTCAAGCAATAGCAATCAGGATTTTGAAGTTTTCTTTAAGTAGGAAGTAAAATATGACAAGAAGTCTGCAATGCTGCAAAGAGAGATGCAGGTTTCTTCAGTTTCAATGTCAAATGACGGAACTGATTTTGGTCCCAACTTTAATAAATTAAACTGGTTTGTCTATATTGTAATTTATCTTTGCACTATAAATTAAAATAAATTACTTATTCATTTTTTTTTTTTATTGCAGATTACATTAAAAGCTGTGCGTGTATGGAAGTTTGTCGACAAATAGTATTAACTCTGGATGTATCCTTTTGCCACTCATCAAATCATAATTTGCAGAACTTTAGTAGCGAAGAGCACAGACTCGTAAGACTTCCTACTAAATTGATCGTTTAAGGCAATTTATTTTGAGGAATTCCGAATTAATAGTAGCTTCGCTGTTGCTTCAATCAATTTTCCCAAAACGCCAATGAACACCAGTCTTGGAGACATGTTAAAGTGGGCTTAAAACCTGCGAAAAATAAGACGTTAAATAAACTCAAGAAGACAGAGGATTGAAGTGTCATTTTTTGCGATCACATCTGATTGAATTATATATTGTTTTTGAAATTCCCTTTGTTGATAGCATTTCTCCATTCAATGACACCCAATCATATCATCTTTTTTAATTCGTCCTGTTGTACAATTGTTTCTTTAATATCTCATGCTAGAGCCCAAGAATTATACTTAGTTGAATTTTGAAGGGATTACGTTTTTTTTTTTCCTCCTTTGTAACGTGTTTCATAGGGACCATTAATGTAAAAATTTTGTTGGTAACATCCAACGAAACGAATGAGATAAAAATCTCTGTTAATTCGTAATTACAATTCTGATAACAACTCGACTTTTTCCTGAAATTATAAATATTTGAAATAATGGTTTAGAGTCCTTTACCTCCAAGCTACCTTATAAACCAGTTACTTTTTATGTGATGAATTTCATGGCCTTGCTTCTGTTATTTCCTTAACCAACTTCACAGAATTCTGGAAATGGCCGGCTGAAATTTAGTGATTTTAAGGATCTTATGTGCAGTTTGAAGTATTGGCAAACAGCTTTCAAAAATCACACAAAGGAAAAGACAGGAATTTTGAAGGCAGAAAGGCTGAAAGATGCTCTCCTAGAAGTTGGTAAGTTTCTAAATGAGCTTCATATTTTTTATAGTTTTTCTCAGTAAAATAAATTTCTTGCATGCTGCACGGATTTTCAATGTAACCATCATTTTCAACATGAAATTTTATAAGAAACACTGAGGTGCGGCTAGTTTTCCCTAAAATCAACCCTCAAGCTTAAAGAGAACCCTTAACCTTTTTGCTGTAGAAGAGTCTACCTTCATATTCAGTAAAACTCTCTCTGTTAGGAAGACCTACAGTGTCAAAGAATAACGCTGTGTGAGCAAATTTTATTTCAGGGCTTTCATTTTTGCCCCTAAACCTCTCAGCCACTATATTTTTGAGTTCGGAACTCCGAATGTGGTGATTGACGAATCGTAACGTTTATGCACTCCAGGATCCCGTAATCCCCTCTTCAAGGCTGAAGTTCTGGCAATCAATGTCGTATTTTTAACTACATAATTCTTTCCATTTATTTATTAGGATCTTGAAATTTCAGTGGTGGAGAAGTAACTGCGGGGTCTTGAAACGTAAGGGCGTATACTTTAATTTATTTTGTGAGTTTGAGTTTTTATAATTTTCCAATTCTCTTTTCTCTTTATTTCAGCCAGCTCATAATTTTTTACTGTATTTTATCTGTTGGTGACAGTTTCTTTTTCTCTTCCGGTTTTGTAAGTAATTATCATTCTTTTTGTTTGAAGGTTTCCAGCTTAGCACCGAAGTATTATCAATTTTAATTCTGCGATACATGCGGAAAGATGGAACGTTGAGATTTGGAGATTTCGTGTCAGCAATACTACATCTTAGTGTGGCTTTTAGTAAGTCTTTTTTAAATTTGCGACCTTATCAAGTAATTCAAAATATGAAAATTTAAATATCAATTGAGAGGCTTGGAAGACACAGCGCACAAGTGTAGGCTTTTAAAAAAATTGAGATAATGACTTCAACTAAAATCCAATTTTCGAGCATTCGAAAGTGAGTTGGAACTTTCTTTCTGCTATAAGGCTCCATGTAATTTTTAAACACATACTTATTTTTTAAAATAGCAATAACTATACTCATGCGTCTTGTCCTCCAAGCCCCTCAATTATTTTTTCCTGAAGAATTCTTCTTTCAGAAAAAATCATTTATTCAATACGTATTTCTCAAAATTTATTCTGATCTTAAAAGTGGCCTCAAATAGATTTATCGAATCTTATGTATTAATATTTAAACCTTTTAAAAAATTAAGAGTGGTTGGGAAAATTGATTTCAATTTTTTGGAGGTTTCCCTTGGAAAACTTGCAGAGATGTCTTTTTTGCTCAGTAGATATGTTTTTTATGCTTTTTGAAAGTCATGATCATTTGAGGTACTGTACTCAAGACGTATTGTGTTTGATGTGACAGGGGGAATGAGTCTCCGAATAGTTGGACCACGTCGAGCAGAAAGGAACCAAGTCACATCAACTATTGCCAAATTTAATTGGTCAATTTTAAGTTTTTTTATGAAAACGATTGTCCGGATTTTTAGGCAAATTCCAAAGTATTTTCTGCATAGCATGAAGCAAATTCCTTAAAAATTTCCAAGGAATTTGTTGTAAAATTGCCCAGTTAAATTTGGCATAGCTGATGTGGCTTGGTTCCTTTCCGCTGAACGCGGTCCAATTGTCACTTGTTATACCCTTCATCGATTGAAGAGTAATCAAAGAGAGCAGCTGAGGTTTGAAATGAGGCTGAAGTTTGAAATGGGAATCTCAAAAATGCCACTTAAAACAACTTTTTCTTTCGCCCTAGCGGAAGTTTGCGATAGACCCATCAATACAATTTATTTACCTGTATAATAATCTGTCCTTTCTCTGACGTTTTCCAGATATCTTTGAATCAAAGGATCCTCTTCAAAACGGAAGCATAAAGATGAATTTGGCAGAGGTAAATCAATAACATCATAGCATAGCTATTTAATATCCAATAGACCACTGCGTAAGGTGTGAATTTATGCAATATGATGTATCGATGGTGAAACTCCCAAATCATGTGTCACGTTTGCACTGTTTTAAAATCTTCAGTCCTATTTTATAATTTTGAAGGAGAACAAATCAACATCATTCCTTGAAGGGTTCAGAGAATTTTCTTCACACAGACAAAGAAAATCACAGAAGTTTTAAAGAATTGATGTTGAGTCGTTTTAAAAAATAAAGTGTGACAGGAATTCCGCAACATCGCAAACGAAGATACGCGGTTTTGGAGTTTCACCGCTGCTATATTTTCTCATCAAAATTTCATGGAGAACACAATTTTTGAAACTAAAGTTATCGAAAGTAACTTCCAACAAAAATAGTAAAGTTTTTCGATGTATAAATCCAAAGGTTCCTTTCATTAAAAAAAAAAAAAGCTATTATCTACTTGAGGTAAATTAGACAATGAACATCACCGTAAAACAGTCTCTGTGGTATGAAAGTATGGCAACTTCAATAACGGCACAACAAATCAGCTGTTGCACATTGTCTACTTTTTGAACAACACAGGGTGGAGAAGAAACACTGTTTGAGCGAGAAGCTTGTCAAAAATTTGTAGTGCATGATTTTATTTACCTAGGCTCTTGTTTATCTTGTGAGCGGGAAATTTAAATTCTTCGTAATCAGTGTTTGATGAAAACATTAATATATTGATTAGAAAATTATATAAAAAATTTGTGTCTTGCGAATCGTGTTCTTCGTGAAATTTTGAAGAGGAAGCATGTATTAGAATGCTGAAATTTGCACCTTGTAGGGTGGTCCATTAAAATGCAATTTTAAAACCTTTGTTGGTACAAAATTAAGATAGACTGCGAACTAGTTAATTATTGAAATTAATAGACTCAGCTACAAACATAGGAAACTAAGGGAAAATGGGGCAATCCTATTGGTAGAACCGGGTAGTTTCAATGGACAAAGGAGGTTAGTAATGTACTAACGGCAACTTGCAGGAGATCCCATAGTTAGTCAATCATTTTCCTCCTTTCTCAGTAACAACCAACCACATTGCTCCATTTCCCCTTTATGTTCTTTGTCCATAGTTTAGTCTATCAATTTCAATAATTAGCCTACTGCTCGCAATCTTGAGATACTAAAATAATTATTAATAAATAGGTAAATTGCGTTCCTCATCGAAAACTTAAATTCCGATTTTTTGACCCAACTTGACTGAAACTACTTTTACCCTTACTAACCCTAAGATCCTAAGATGGATGTTCAACATTCTAGACACAGAGCGCATTCTGTAAAACGATTACATTTGGCAATAAGAAACCACTATATTTCCGCCTCATTTTAGAAACAACGCAAATGCTAACTACATAATTTTCCTTTGCAGAGAAGGGCTTGTACGGAGGAGATAGAAATCGTGATTTTTTATTGCAAAATATTACCTCTCTCAACATGAACAACTCAGATCAGCTCCTTGAATTTCATCGACGATTTTTCTTTCATAATATAAAATTTACTAACTATTTCTCCTTTCTTTTTCAGTGGTTGAAATCATCCATGTCTTGCTGATGCTGGATGATGACTTAGGTCAGAAAGGTAAAAGTCAAGTAGGAAAATGAAATCGCAAAAATGATTTCTCACCCAATCGAAGAGATGATAAATGAATTTAAAGCAGGTACCCCTACCAAAATTCTCTTTGAATATGAGATCATCAATCTGCAATCTTGCCTTCAGTAAAGGCAGGATTCGACTCATAAGTCTCGGAAAAGTGTAATTGATATTATTATTGAAAAGAATCCTGGTACCATGAATTATTTGTTTAACATGAGCCTTCCGGCAGAAGAAATAGTAGCCTCAAAGGCTCTTTTCTTGCTTCAATTCCAGCCTAAGCAAAGAATATATCCATTTATTTCAGTCAAATAGCATATGGATTTAAGATGCGTTTTCCCCCGTTATAATGGAGGTCAACAATAATGCTCAATTAAAATATAAATTTCATACTTACTTAGAAACAAGTGAGTATCAATGGCGAACTCTGATTCATCACTTGGAGGTATGCACTATACAGGCCTATATTCTAACTGGCTAAGGGGAACGCCACATGAACCTCCCAACGTTGCCAAATTTCTTTTGATACAATATAAATTCTCCGAGAAATCTGTGAACATTTTTCTTTGAAGTTTTAGAGAATTTTGAACGTGATCGAATCTAAATCATTTGAAAATGTCATGACTCTCTTTATAATATGAACATTCTATTGGAGATTGGCAACTCTTGGATGTTCATACGGCATTTTTCATTAACATGGCAGTATTTACATCAGCAGATTGTCAACAGACTCAGCAGAAAGTAAATTTCCTTATTTTTCCAGTGTTTTTTTTTAGGATTCCCTGACTTTTCATATCAATGATTACTATACGAAGAACTAAAAGTGAACATTTATGTTTGGCAATGATTTCACCGAACATTAGAAACATGTGAACTTTTTTTTCTTCAGGTACCAATCATTCCATATCGACTTAAATTGTTATTCCTCATTGATTATTATTGATCCAGTACTCAGAGTGTAGTTCAGAACATTGAACCCTGAATCAGACTTAAACTTAGTTTGATTGTGTAGACAGCACAACGTATTGTTTATTCACATTCCAAGTTCCAAGATTTTTCAAATTTTCAGTTTTTTTAACAAAATTACCAGGTTTTCCCTGACCTAATGTTTCCTACTACTTCCTGGTTTTCCAGAACTGTAAACACTTTGCATTAGTAATGAATTCCCAAAGTACTAGGTGGGTAGATAAATTAACTGACCAGAAACTCATGTTGAATACGCAAATGATAATAATGGAAGAAGCCTGTGCTTTTCGAAGATTTTATCAAATCGCATCGATTTCAATGGACCTTGGATTACCCTGTGTGGAAACAGTATTCGCACAGGATTTTTACGTATGTAGGTACCTAAGTGTGAACAAAATAATTCTTTACAACTCCACAACATATGTACTTATTTTGAAATTTTCTGAAACAGATCTATCATTTTGTATTCCTACCCGTTCTAAATTAATCAAAGCTGAACGGTAAAACTTGGTACTCGTTGTGTTCAGACGAAAATGATTACAATGTAGATTCATCAGTCAGCACTAGCACAAGTTCATCCTGTAGTCAACCTAATTTTAGTTTTGAAAAATGCAGGAAAAATCAGTGAAATAAAGGCCTGTCAAATGAATGGGCATATTATTTTTGGGAAAAAAAAATATTTCCCTAGAACATCCTACCTCTGAAATTTCTTTGTCTTTATTGTCTTATCTTGTCTTTCATGTTGTACAGAAATGATTGTTGCGTTATTTTTCTATATTGTATTTTTTATTTATTATATAATTTTCTTTGTTACTGTAAATTAAACATTTTTTTTACTCAATTTTTAGCAGACATTTCTTTTTGCTCTTCCCTGATTTTCATTCAGCTCTCAGCTAATACATGACATGCAGTGAAGTACACATAAGTTACACAGGCCTACACTGAAACTCTGGCGATTTGAAAAGCGATTCCAGCATAGCCATTTTTCTGGTATCGCCAGTTAAATGACTTAGTACATTCAAATATCCCCATTTCAAACTGATCAGATTGTTTTACTTCTGAAATGACAGAAAAATTATTTTACCAAGGTGTCTAATTACAAGTACAAATATTTCAAATCTCTGGCGTTTTATTCGGTGCAGTCCTGTGTGATTTATGTTTGACGTAGAGTGTATTAGAGGGGCTTGGAGGACAAGGCACCTAAGAGCAGTTACTACTGTTTTGAAAAATATGTGTCTCAAGTTTCGAAAATACATGGATCCTAATGGCAAAAAGAAAGCTCAAACCGACTTTTTGATGCTTAAATTGGAATTTGGAAGCAGATTTTGCACAGAATGTGCATCAAGACTAGTTTTACATGAAATCATTAATATCTCAATTTTTTTCAAAAACTGTGTTTTTGTGCGCCTTGTCCTCCAAGCTCTTGAATTATGTGTGTAAGTTAGTTGCAGCTTTATTGTAAGAAGTGTCAGAAATCCTTAAATTAAACATTACAGGAATGACTGTTCTGCTAACTTTTTTTTTTTTTCAAAAACATTAGTGTTTTGTTAGAAAAATCTTATGTAATTTTTACTGCATGAGCCTGGGAATGACCTCAGCTATTCTCTACTCTTCTCCCAGTTTCTTGAAAAATTTTGATTTTCCTCCAAAAAAGAATTTTTCAAGGAAAATTCTATTTTCTGGGAAGTTGGTAAATAATAGAGAAAGAGTAAGCTCATTTTTTGGATTTATCGGTCAAAAGTACAAAAAACTATGTATCGCATGACACAGCAAGATGAACACATTGATAATATTTCCTCATATTGGTACCAAGATTAGATCAGTGCTATATTATTTCTCCTGAGTGACCAGGGTGACACGTTAAAATAATACAAAAACTTGCATTTTCCATGACTTTAATAAATTAAAAAAAAAATATTTCAGATTTACAATCAGTTAATTCTGATAAAAATAAGTGAAAATAGAATCTTAAAAAAACAGCGTATTACAACCCAAGATTCCTAAATACTGCAATACTAGATGCTAAGAATTTTTCCTTTATTGTAGCAGCACAAAGGCATGAGAGAGAATGGAAATATTAATACATGCGAAAGGTTGTCATACAAAGCTTATACATACAAGGAGCTGCGAAGGTTTTTAAACACAAACAGCTTTGCTACATTAACACACATTTATTGGTATAGTCTCCACTCATTGCTTAAGATATTGAATTGCAAAGATAAATTATTGGATTACAACAGAAAATCACTGAAAACTCGAATTGGTTCTGTGGCATTGTTGAGGACTAGAATTTTCTAAACGACTCGATCAGCGTTTTATTTGTATTGTTAAAGGTTGTTTACAAACTGAACATTGCATGATGCCTGGATCACACAGAAAATTTAGGAGAAATTTCTTGTCGACAGACATTTATTTAGTGCTGATACAGTAAGGAAAAGACTGCACCCAAAATAAAAAATATTTACAGTTTTTCTAACAAGAACAGTCACAAGAGAATAGGATTTAAATCCTACCATGAATTTCAACAGGAAAAAATACTGAGGTCTTCCTCAGGTTACCTAATATCACTTTTTAGGAATATATTAAGAGGGTGGCACAACAAAGGCACAAATATTCAAGCTCAGCATACCTATCTGATAATTTTGAATAGAACATTGTCAACATCTTCAAAATTGCAAAAAAAAAAAACTGGCATTATCCTTTGGAAATCAGTTTATAATTTAGGAGTTATTTTCAGTGATGACTACCTAAGTTTAAAATTTTTTGATTATTTTGATTATGAGATCGTTTAAAATTTCAGTGAAGCAAATTACACATTAAAAAATTACTTTTGGGAATACATAGAGCATTCTAGGTTATCAAACAAAAAATCTGAACTACAATCTTATCTTGAAAATGCTTCGTAAGGTTGAGCTCAGGCTTCTGGTCTCTCTGATTCAAGAGAATGAGTAAAATAATTTTTCATGATTTTTATTTTCCTCAAAAATAAAGTTTAAGAGAAAAGAGATAATTTTTCTGTTTTTAAAGTTAAGAGATCCTGGACTTTAGTGTGACAGGAAAGTTTCCTGAGGAAACTTATGAACCCAAGAGCATGGTTTCAACGAGGAAAAAAAAAGTGAGCATTTACAATTTAAACATAGGTGCAAAAACATTGTCTAACTGACGGAAAAGTTGGCAAACTATGAGAAATAAGGATAACAAGAAATTGAAGAAAGAAAAATCAGCAGAAAACAATGTTCACCAAACAACACTTATCTTACTGAGAGCAGCCTGATACAAAGTACAACAGGGATGATTACTCTAAACAATTATCTGAATACAGTATCTCTTTAGTGTGACTTTTACACATAATTATGCACTTGTTATGAAGTGAGTCGCTGATTTTTTTTCCGAAAAAAATTTGAATAGTCAATTGATTAATAATTTGATCAAAGGCGAATTCGATTCTTACGTTTTAAAAAGGATGTTCTCAGTTCAACAAAAATTAATGTCAGTTACCTTTTTAGTACATTTAAATTTTACATAAAAATCGACCAAAATAATTTCCAACTTAGTACATTTCATATTTCGTTAGAAAGTTTTTAAAATAGCTAGAGATCATGAGACAGTCATGAAAAAGTGATAATATCTCTAGGATCAAACTACAAATAAGAGTTTCCTGCTCATCACATTTTACTGTTTTTCAAGAATGAAGAATAATATGCAAAAATATGCAATGTTCTTACTTTTGTCTTTAAAATTGCCAGTAGGGATATAAAAGGCATGAAATTTCAATAGCAGGATCTCAAAATTTAGACTATAAAGGGTTATCATAAAATTGAGGGTCTTGGACGATAAGGCGCATAAGTGCAGTTTTTATTATTTCGTAAGAGACGAGTTTAAAGTTCTGGATTTTACTCGGACGTACAGACTGGTCTGAATACCTTCTAAATTTACAAGTGTTTGTCTTACACCTTCATGAACATCTGAAATTTTCGGCTCAGTTTAGTCAAATTGAGGTCAGCAGTTGGGCTTAAAGTGACGGTAGGTCGCACTTATCCCGCGTCCCCTCTAAACAAAAAATGCACTTATCCCGTTTGCTGTTTCCTCCGCGTCAGATGACTTCCAGACAAAATCACTTGGTATCCTGATAGACGTTATCTTCAACTACCAAACAACACGCATAACTCAATTTTGATCAAAGACATGCTTTCGGGCACACGATTTTATTCTTATTTCCATCCTTCCTTTTTCAACACGAAAAAACTCGAAATGGTCCGGATTCCTGTTTCCCCTTCGCTTTTTCTTCCTGTTTTTATCTAATGTGCTTTTAGTGAGGTCCAGTCGTTCTCTTGTACCTATCTCACCTGTTGAGATACAAGCATAACAAGCTATGGCATGCAGCTGAGGCAGCTGGGCTCTTATCTCTTGTCTCAAATTTCTGAAACTGCACATATGCGCCTTGTCTTCCAAGCCCCTCAATTATAACTACTTAAACTTATCACTCGGAAATAAAATTAATTCTAAAATGCACAGGAAAAACTATCACAGTAAAATGTGCACCTAAGGAGGTACTCCAAAAATGCATAACACAATTCGTCCATTTTTTCTTGGGAATATAAACCGTCAATTAATTGTAGGCATGGTAAAAAAGAAAAGGAGGCACTGAAATTAACTTCAGTAAAAAACAAGGCTCAAAAGGAGGCTGGTGGGCCTTCCAATAATAATCTTTAACCGACAAACAAACAGGACACAACAACACACAATAGAACTTGGTAAGCAATAAAAAAGTTAGGAAAATTAAGAAGGGAAGGGATTGAGAGATAACGGAAATTAAGGCTACAGAAATGAATGCAATAATTCAAATTAGATAATGTCAAAGTAGTGCAAGTTTTAAATTTTGCTTTTAAAAAAAAATGAAACCAAAATCATTTGTTATTAATGTACGCAAGGATTTAAGTAAAAGCTAAGTTCACGCTCTGACAATAGGAGCTGTTGGTCGTTTTTCAATCATCATAATTTTGTAAATTTGAGGTTTTTTCATCCAAAATCGTACCAAATTTATTCAAATAATTTGGACCAACTGTTGTCTGTGAACTAACTGTAGGTAACTGTTGCGCTCTACTCAAAAAAGCACTGATGATTCTCATTATCAGTATGTAAATTTGGCATGAAGGAAAGAATCGCAGCAAAGAATTTTGTGTTGGTTGGAGTTGCGTTGCTTCTTGAAACGATACAATTTGCACAATTTTGATATGATGGCGGATGCAACTGAACTCCTCCATCCATGAATTCCTTACACACAGAGGGGATTGCAGAATTTCAAATTGAATACATAACAGTTTTAAGTTATAAAGAAAAAGTTTTGAGTTATAATGGGGCGAATTAGCTTAAAAACAGAAAGACACATAATTCAACGGCATGAAACTTCTCCTCAAACTCTAGTTTCCTGTCAATCAATTATTCATTTACAAGACTGCAGGTTTGACAATAGCTGGTCATGTTTTAATTTTCATAATGTCTGCTACAGCTCGTGGCTGCATTATGTTTGCGAAATGGAAGATTGTGATTACACCTGGTTGCTGGTTAAATTACAAACTACACTGCTGGATGGCTACGTGGCAATATAATCAGCATTAAACCTTGAATCTTGGCTACTCTTATTTTATAGTGGAACATTTTTAGATACATACTATTATTAGGTACATCCACAAAATAAATCCTTAAGACTTTCACACAATTTTATCAAAATCAATCACACTACAGGTATGATTTATTTCAGGCAGTGTTAATAGTAATTAGAGGCAGAATTAAGAAGGACAGGTCAGTTACGCATCTTTCAGAACTGAGTTTTGATGCTTGAAACTTACACTTACATAGTATAAATGATAAGATCTATCAATCCCTCTGGAATCAAGCAAGGTTGTTGGTTTGTCAATACTATCAGCCACGGCCATTCAACTAACGTTAATATTAAGGAGGTGGAGAAGAGAGAGATTTTTTTGATCTATTTATTTCCCAAGACAAAAAGGAAATTAATACCATCATCCTTGGATTTGAAACATTTTACATAGTTCTGATTTTTTTATTTCTTTTACTTCCGATGTATCTCATTTGTTTCCATTATATTTGCCAATTACTTACCTTTCTTATGAGAACGTCTCTTGTAAGTATTTGGTTTCCTTTTACCTACACTCTAAAAAATAAAATCAAGTGAGATTTGCCCATCTGCCAAGTTTCTACATTCAATATCGAAAATGGTGCCCTTCTTAACACGGTAATGGGCATCAGACACTGCGGCATAGCTGTAAGACTCAACATTTGGACCAACATTATATTTTTACTACTCTGTCACAGTCTTCAAACCTCAAAACACAATTTGACGACATGCGCAACTGACCAATAGCAGGCTATATACAAAAAGAATCACGGCGATTGTTAATTATTTGAGCTGAGTTACGGGAAAAAAAAATTTGAATATGCCCTCAAGATTTCATTTTGCGGAGTGCAACTTGAGGATGAATCATTTAATGTTGAGAGATCCAATGAATTGATTGATCTTTCAGTGTTTTCTTCATCAGAATTTTCATCTGGTGAAGAGCTGATGAGAGGAGGGTCACTTGCAGGGGCGAGAGTCCTCTCATTGAGAGGACTGTGATTGTGCCAAGGCAGTGGAAGAGTGATTGGCTCCCAGGATACAGGATATTTCTCCGAAGGATGCTCAATTAATAAATGATAAAGCAACAAATTTTCTCTTCTATACATTTTGCTGCATATGTTACACCAGAAGTAATGCCGAGACGGCGGCTGATAAGAAGGAGAAGGTTTGGTTACGAATAATAATGGTTCCGGGGGAGCATGATTATTAATTGTTGACGTTGAATCAGCATTATATTGTTCCTTATCCTGCATCAATAGGGGTGGGAGTGAAGCTTCAACAGTTTTAACAATCACGTGTCGAAACAACTCTACGTTTGGCGGAGGACTTTCCCCACTCTGTTCTTTCAATGTACAGGATTCATCAATGGGCGAAGAATCATTAACATGGGGAGCGGATTTCTCTTTGCTAGTTTTGAGAAGGTAAACTTTGTAACAGTGCTGGTAGTGTATGTCTCTTAATTTTTGAGTGAGAAATGGTTTTTCACACAATGAACAATTCACAAGTTGTTTATTGGCATCACCATGCTCTATTAGTTCATGGTGTTCAAGAGTAGCCTTGAAAGCAAATCGTTTCGTGCACATAAGACAGACAAGATTTTTCTTAATTGGGTGGGTTTCCATGTGTAATCTGTAATTGAAATAAAACATGAATTTTTCATCGCAATATGAGCACGATGACAACTGGAGTTTATGTTTAGAAGGGGTAGTTGTTCTGCGAACTGTGTCCTTGGGAGGGCATTCTGCTGAAGTTCCACTTGAGGCAACCTCAGTTTTTTCCATTGTTTTGTCTCCTGATTGCAAACTTTGTACTTTGTGAATTTGTTTTCCTTTGCTCTTCTTCACATGGAAAAAACGATTCTTTTTTCTCCTTCTTTTGTTTCGTTGCTTGGGAGGTTTTTTGCACGCAGACTTTGTAAAACCTTTAATCCTTCTGTTATCATAATGACCATTATGCCAATATTCATGCATCATTAAGCCACGTCTTGACTTAAAAAGCCTGCTGCACAATTTACACCAGAACTCTTCTTGCTCGGAACTTTGAATCACTCGATTTTTCTTTTGATTGATCTCAGAATTGGGACTTGCAAGTTTTGATTTTTCATTTTTCAAATGCCAAGAAATGTGTATTCGTAAATTTTTTAGTGCTGGAAAGCTTTTCTGGCATGTATCACACTTATAAAACTGTCTACCTCGCTTTCCTTGGGATAGAACTTTTTCTTTTCTGAGGAGGATATGCTTTTTCTTTTTGTGTCGATCCATAGCCTCTTTAACATAAAAAGTTTTAAAACAAACATCACATTTGTGATTCTTTTCATCCAAACTATTGTTTCTACTTGCGTCGGTAGCAATTGAAAATTTTTTTTCATACACATGGACTGACATGTGATCATCTAAATTTTGTTGGAATGGAAATTTTGCACCACATAAGGTGCAAGAAAACTGCTGCACAGGGGTGTCGTATGAACTTGACGGCCACTGATGGGAGGGTGCTTTTGTCTGGTTCACCGATAATTGAATGGCAGTACTCACCGGTTGACTTGTTTGATGGGCACATTTTATGTGACTCTCCAAACGATTTTTTGGACAGACTTCATAGCATAAATGGCACTTTACACATGGACCCAGCCGATGGAAAAACTCCATGTGGTTCATAAACGCAGATTCCATGGTGAAAATGCTACCGCAGTAATAGCATGTTGCTTGTATACTGCATGCGGTATTGCTGGTATGCATTGCGGTATCAAGCTCGCCTTCTTCCTCCAAATCTATGATTTCAATATCGGGGTCCATTTCTGAAAAATGAAACAACTCAAAAATACAAACTGATATAGCAGACAAAAGATTATATGGATTGCATTTTGCAAAAAGGAACCACTAGCCTTGCAATGATGCTAAGATTGTGCAACTTCATCCTTTGCAATAAAATTGCGGTAATCGTGAAAAACTATGAAATTTAGATGGTAATTTTTGTGTTAAATTCACAGTTTTTAGCGAGTAAAATAAAAACTATTAATGGATAATCGGGTTTTTCCTCCAAGACAAAAGAAGTTGCACAATCTTAGCAACATTTCAATGCTCGTGGTTCCTTTTTGCAAAATGCAATCCATATATTACAGTTGGACACATAATGCACTAATTGTAGCTACTTTAAAGAGAACCTTTGGAGGAATGAATCAAACATACAGACAAGTTTTAACGCCACTTTCGAGGTTGCAACCAGCTCCGGAAAGAATTATGAACTCAGGAAGACTTGAGGATGGAAGAATGGGCATTGGCGGCTTTCCCACGTCCAGATTCAATTTCAACTTTGCATGTCCAGATTTAATTTCAATCTCAATTTTAACTTTATTTTTTAAGTTACTTAAACTGTGTACTATACAGCAGTATATTATATATATGTTTGACTTTGTCCGGAAATTGTTTACATTTGTTACTTACCTACTTTTGAAAATAAATTATCAATCAATCATCATGTCTCATTGTCAGACAAGTTACTCAGCAGTGATACCAAGTGTTTGAACATATACGGGTCATGCCGTGGGGATCTTCCATATACCAGCACAGACTGTGTACAGACTGAAAGCTTAAGGGAAAACGCTTCCCCATCTTAAAATATCAGTACGCCTGCTGTCACAGTATAATGAAGTAGCCAATAGCAGCACAGAGAGCAGCAGTGCGTGCGGACCTCGCACATGGAGTACCCGGGAACACTGTTACTGAGAGACATTTGTGTATTCGCTAAAGGCGTCAGTTTCTTCAGGAATTGGGCAAATGAAGATTTACTTACTCTCAGTAGCAGTTACAGTTTTATAACCAAACTGAGTGAGCAGGATTCTCAAGCTCAATTCAAACGGTCGAACAGAAGCAGGCAAAAAGTTGGATGGGTAGAAGAACGCAAAAAACTTTGATTCAACTACCATCGCTGTGTGATATCATCAATTAGCACACGGGTTTTTTTGGTCAGCCTCTCATTTGCTAAGATACACTTTCAGCTGAGGATTTTGTTTCGACTTTCCATCCAATTAGCGCTGCCACTCAGAAGGAAATGTTGGCAGAAAGTTGGAGGGGACATCAGATTCGAAGTGTCGTTTCACTTGGCATCTGATTGTTGTCTTCTCGAGTCAATATAACAGGATCCAACTATTTACCTGACGAAAGCAGAAGAAAAGTTGAACAAAAAGTTTGACCGTCTGAATTGGACTTTAGAGGAGTCCAACGCTAAACTTGAATGTTCTCAGACTTCTGCTTATATTCATGCAGTCTAATCATCATATTCTCATCGTGAGACATTCATTAGTATCAAGAGAACGAGAAAAAGTATGAATGACCTATCATCACACTACCTATTGCTCAGAGAAGTCAGAGAACACTTCATGTTGCGAGGAGTGTGAGGATTTACTCCGCAAGTTACTCTTGCACGATTAAAAATGGTACTTAAGGTGATTCGTCAAGCTCAAGTGACGTGGTCGAACTGGCATGCGATACATCGCATCTTTTAGGTAAAAAATCTCGGCAGATTTTGAATTTTCAGCAAAAAAAAGGACGATAGCCCCTGCGCATGAGCCTGAAGAATTATTCTAAACCCAAAAAGCGGCAAAACTCAGAGAAATGAAAACAGGATAGTGTTTGGAAAAAAACCTCGCATTCGATACCGAAATCGATAGCTGAATCGAATGCGAGGTTTTTTTCCAAACACTATCCTGCTTTCATTTCTCTGAATTTTGCCGATTTTAAGGTTTAGAATGATTCTTTAGGCTCATGCGCAGGGGCTATCGTCCTTTTCTTTACTGAAAATTCAAAATCTGCCGAGATTTTTGACCTAAAAGATGCGATATGTCGCATGCCAGTTCGACCATTTCTTTTGAGCTTGACGAATCACCTTAATACAAACATAAGGAATTAGTATAACGTTGACTCACCTTACCGAAAGTATTAGGTAATCTGAAACAATCTGAATGAAAGTCTGAAAGTGAAAGAGGATCTCATGGATCAACAAAAACAAAACAACCAGACTGAAGACTGACACTGAAGAAAAAGAACATTTCCAGACGTCACGCCCGTTGGCCCGTTGATAAAAAGCAAAAAAGTCGATTTTAATGATAATAGCCCTCTGACGTCACTTTTGTTGTTTTCTCTTGTTGTTATCGTTGTTATCAGTAAAGAACAAGTCTAGGTCCACGGAGCTCCGATTTTTCCATTTTCCGTTTTCGGTCTTTCACTTTGCCTGGTCTTGTTACAAATAATTCGTCTTATTATGTATTTGTTTTACCAGTGGTAGTTGCATTAATGATGCCCTACCGCGATAATACTTACGGCACAGTAATCGTTTCTCGTCATTTTGAATCTTTACATTTCTAAATGTAGGTCATTGACTCACAGTTTCACAGTTTCCCTTGAATTTTGTTCGGCTGTTATCATCGAAGTTTCAAAATTAGAAAGAATGAGTTTACTCTCCAATTCCAAGAGTGAAAACTCCGATAGTAGTATCGTGTCCAAACAGCCAAGCAATGCAGGTGATATTTTGACTCATCATCTTTCAAATTTTTTATTCATACCTATTATTATCCACTTACGCTCGTCTATACTGGACCCCGCAGAAAGGAAAATTTCTGTACTTCTTTGAAGTTTAGAAAATTCTTCATCAGAGCACTGTGTAACACTGTAGGAATAACTAGCTTGTCGTGTCACAAGCAAGGATACGGAGTTGAGATTGCGGGTGATTTTGATGCAGGAGCGATCTCTCCTCAGAGAGTCTGAGTGTGCACCCTTTGGTCTGAGTCTAGCTTTATTTGTTATCTCTATGTGAGTCGGCCATCTTCTCTGGCTGTCGAGTTCATCCTCTAATGATAGAAAAAACAACTTAATCGGCCCGAAACATTTACAACGAAACAATTTAAAACGGGACTAAGGCAGCAAATAATAAACATAACATAAAATAAAAAACTCGGGACGTTTCGCAAGGATCACAAAGAAAAATGCTGGTTTGCCTGTTGAAAATGCGGGTGTGATCCGTGCGAAACGTCCCGGGTTTTTTATTTTATGTTATGTTTATTATTTGCGGCTTTAGTCCCGTTTTAAGTTGTTTCTTTGTTTCATCCTCTAAGCGAGTCTGTAGGCAGACTCTCTGTAGAGAGTCTGGGTCCGGTCTCAACAACAGCGCAGACTGGCAAGGGAAGGTCCGATCAGCTGCATGCCCATGGGATATTATCGGAACTGAACATTGGGGGTGTTGCCGAGATGGCATGGGTCACGGTCAGGCCGTGAGATGATATGCATTAATGTGGTGTAAGTACGGCAAGGATGATTTCCAGAAAGACGGACTTNTAATAACTCCCAGGTATCTCCACTCGTCTACCTCCTTCATTTGAACACATTTACAGCCTATGCGATTACAACTAATATGATGGTATTTTATTGGTGTTCTATCTATTTCAATTGGAACAAGCTTACAGGAGAATTTAATGTAGACGGATTTTTCTAGGTTGAGGGTTAGAAGATTTGAGGAGAACCAGGGTAGGATGACAAATTGAAGGCTATCTGATACCTTTTTAAATACTTCCTCCCATGTATCGCCCCAATATACAATGGATGTGTCGTCCGCAAACATGGTTAATAGCGCTTGATAGAAATCATGGTCACAGAGTTCATTTACATAAAGTAGAAAGAGTAGCGGTCCGAGAATTGAGCCTTGCCCAACTCCAAATTCAATTTCTTCAACAGAGCTATAACTTTTCAATTTGACAACTTGGGTGCGATTAGACAAGTAACTTTCCATTAATTTGAGGGGAATACCCCTGATACCATAGTTGCAGAGTTTCCCCAAGAGTATTTTATGTGACACGGTATCGAAAGCCTTAGAGATGTCAAGAAAAATACCAATGCACTTCTTTTTGTTCTCTAAACATTCAGTGATTTTCTTTACTACTCTTGCAATGGCTTGGGTGGTATTTTTCCCTTTCAAAAAGCCATACTGATTTTTTGAGATTACCTTATTGATGGTCAAAAACTTATTAAGCCTTTTACAAATTAGTTTCTCGAAAATTTTTGCAATTTTTTTGCAAATTTTTACCACCATGACGCGAATCAATGACAAGTTTATGCACTTGTTTACAATTGAACTATGATGTAGCCACTAAGGAAGTCTATCAAATCGTGATTCTTAATCACAATTCAACTTATGACTCAGTACAGTAGACTTGATGTGCTGTGTAATTAATGTTTTCAAGGCTTTCCGTATCTGTAAGATGAACCCAGAATCAAGTTGAACCCAAGTTATAAAAAAAATCTTGGCCAAGCCCTGACATTCTACTTTATTCTTGATTTACCATTCAACTTCTAACAGAGTCTCATGCTTTCCAGATCTAATTGTGACAGAGGAAATGCTTCTCAAAAAAGACAAAATCAGTCCTGACGATGTATTGAAACTGCCAAAAATTACTGAAAGTAAGTATTTTATTGTTTTTATACACAGTGGCTGAAAAATGCCTGAATACAAGCAAGTAAATATGAAATTATAAAAAATGTGAAAAAATGCGATACCGATTTAAACTTAGGTAAAACTCCAGTCCGAGAAATGTGCATTTTTGACACCGTCTAGTCTCATCCAAGGAGTATCGCCAAAATCTAGGGAAATTTTTCCAAGGCATGCAAATTCCAGAACACAGCAGAATCAGTATATGTTGGCCTCCTGTGGTGTGATGGTTGTAGCAGTCTGCTTCCTGTGGTGTAGTCAGGCCAGTGGCGTATTTACGGAGGAAAGGGGGAGTTCAGACTCCCCCCCCCCCCCCCAGAGCCCTAAGGAAAGAGAGAAAAAAACATGAGAAATCAAGGGGAAGGAAGAAAAATCGAGTGGAGCGAGAACTCGATGATATTTTTGTCTGGAGAAACGAGGAGAAGGATTCGAAGTCGGACGAAAGGGCCTCAAGCGTCGCCTTAGAAGCCTCATTTTTTCTTCAGGAAGTTAGCAAATTTTTTCCATCTCATACTCAAAACAAATCATCCTATTTGGTATTGTATAAACGGTTTTCCATTTTTTTAGGTTCTTTGGGGGAAAAATGGTGGAGAGCTTCTTATCACTTTTCATGACAGAAATTGTTAAAAAATGGGGTTTTACAGTGTTAAAATTTCTGGGGGTGGCTCCCCCGGACCCCCCCCCCTTGCACCTGGGTAGAATTCCATACCCCCAGACCTCGTGGTGGGAGGTTTGTCCCCCCCTCCCCCCCAGAACCTTATCCTGCATACGCCACTGAGTCAGGCAGTGGTTGTCGAACTGGCCCTAAAACCCAGGTTCAATTCTCAGCCAGATGACTCGAGTTTGAAGGTCTCAGGCAATGGTCTTTTGGGACTGCAGTATCAAACGTTGAATTAGCTCTACAGGCCACTCGAAAATCAGTTTAAAAAAAAGAAGAATCATTTAAAAACTTAATTACAATTAAGATGGTCTGCTCTAGTGTCAGGATGTGGTCAAACTGACATGCAAGCAACATATCGCACTGATTTGGTCAAACATGGCAGATTTTAATTCAAAAGTAAAAGAAAGCCGCAATTGCCCCTATGCATGAGTCGAAAAATTTACTTTCATCGAAAAAATTGTTGACTTTGCCGAAATAAAAACATTATCTAATTATGAAAACAAGGTTACATTTAATACCGAGATCAGTAGTTGTATTGAATACAATATTTTGTGTACCTATGTGAATCCTGTATTCAGCTTCAAATCATTCAATTTTCTTTTTATGATGAATGATTCCTCAGACTCATGTGCTGGCCAGCTATTGTCGTTTTTTTGGCTAAAAAGTCCGAAATTGCCAAGATTTTTAAGAAGATGATCTTTGCGATACATTGCATGCCGAGTCTGACCATATCTTCAACCTCGGACAAGTCACCTTAGGCGTTGAAGGATTTCATCCATTTTCCTCCTCTTTTTGATTCATGCACCAAACTTTTGACACAGCAACTTTACATAGTATTGATCTATACTTTTTTTTTCTCTGTTTTAGATTATTTGTGCTCCCCTGATGCAAATGTTTACAATATCGACTTCATAAAGTTCAAAATACGTGATCTAGACTCTGGGATGGTTTTATTTGAAATCGCTAAACCAACCTCTATCTCAGGTAAGCTAAAATGATTCTTCATTTTGAATGTAAATTATCCAACCCTTTTTCTTCCAAAGAAAACGTCTTCTTCACTGAGGGAAGAATAATCCATGAACTAGTAGAAATCAGTAAGAACATGAGGATTTCGAGGCAGTTGCATGGATGCGAGGGTTGTGCAGAAAGATACTGACGGTGAGACTCCCAAACCAAGTATCTCAATTGCAGCGTTTAAAAATCTTAGTTCTCATTTTATTTTTTTGAAAGAGAACAAGTCAACATCATTCCTTGAAGTTTTCACAGAATTTTCTTTGCATAGGAAAGAAAAATTCACGGAAGTTTTTAAGAATTGACCTTGAGTAGTGTTCCATGTATAAAATAAAAAATGACAGGAAGGCTGCAACGTTGCAAACCAAGATATGTAGTTTGGGAGTTTCACCGTCAATTAGTATTTTAATGATGTTCCCACACCATTTCCAAAATTAAACTGCGGTTTTAAAATACTCTGTAAAGTTTTCCTTATTTTAAATACCACCCAAGAGTATTTAACCTCCTGCCTGAAATAATGTCTGCCAAGGATGTATTATTCTTTTTAGGTTCCAGCGTTTGATACATCAGGATATTCAAATACAGTTGAGGAAAGTTCGATTATCATACATTATTGCTTCCTTTTTGATGTTCTACCTTCAATACTTCCAATTTTTTCTCTTCTTTTCTTTCAATTTTTTTTTCATATTTTAACGTTTGTGAACAAGAAAACTCAATGATGGCTGTGCTAAGAGGATATTCAAAATTCTCACAATTCACAGTATATTCTTCTAAGAAATCACAAACCTATTTCTTTGTTTTTTTACAGAAAGTGAAGATGTAAATTTAGAAGTTGAAGAAATCGATCCAAATTCTGGGCGCTTTGTTAGGTATCAGTTCACCCCTCAGTTTCTCAAATTAAAAACAGTTGGTGCAACGTAAGTTTAAATATTTAATCTAATATGTTCACTTTCTCACCTTAAGAATTCTTCCCAACTTATTTTAAATGTTTTTCAACTATTAAAACATCTCTCTTCTACAAATTTTTTTTTACTCCTCTAAGTTTTCTCCGTGCAAGGTGTGATTTTTCAACTTAAAACTCAGATTTCTATCATAATGAGTTCCAACACCAATGAACATGATTCGTTTTGAACGTTATCTAGGATCATTTTCCCAAAAGTAGTTAGCTTTAAACTGATGAGCGATGTCTTGTGTTTTTCCTAGTCTGCTGCCAAGTTTCTTACATATTATTTGCAAGATGTGAATCCTGCCACCACTGTTTTGTACACCAGCAGTCGGATTCAAATACAATTGTTTTATTTGCCAAAATCGTTTATTTTATTGTATCATTACTTTATTTTCAGTGTTGAATTCACCATCGGAAGTAAACCAATCAACAAATTTCGGATGATCGAACGGCACTTTTTTCGTGATAAACTACTGAAAAGTTTTGATTTTGAATTTGGATTTTGCATACCAAACAGTAAAAATACATGTGAACACATTTATGAATTTCCAAACTTACCTCCTGAGCTGAGTAAGTATCTATGCCAAATCAATGTTTTACTTTGAAGACACGCCTATTAGCGTTGTCTACACAACGAAAAATAACAAAAAGGGTGATAGGCAAAATCAAGAGAGGAGATCTGTCTATCATTTGATAGTTGATCAACTCCGGCTAGTAAGGGATGTTCGAGTGAGCCATGTTTCGGTCCTCAAACAATACTTTGCACCAGCAGTGACTTCACCCTTTACAGGCTACTTCTCATGGTGTGGACTGAAGTGAATTGCAATGAAACCCAAGAAAAAAGGATTTATGGTAAAAAGCTCACAATTTTCAGCCGAGTAAAAAAAAACGCTTTCCAGCCACAGTGGAAACGAAAGGTAGATTTCGACTAATCGTTTCTATGAAAACAATTGTGCCCAATGAGCCTGACAGGTCGGAAAATCGTCCCCCTTGAACTTGAGATTTTCCGGATAAAAGGTGGTTTTAGAGGGTAGGTGAATACAGGTTGTTTTGAAGGCCACGACGAGACGAGTTTTTTGACGTATCACCGACCAAGATCGGACGAGTTTGAAAAATCATCCAACTTTGGAATTGAGATTTTCCGGATAAGGGGTGGTTTTAGAGGGTAAGTGAATATAGGTTGTTTTTAAGGCCACAAGAAGACGAGTTTTTTGCCGTATCACCGACCAAGATTGGACGAGTTTGAAAAATCATCCCTCTTTGGACTTGAGATTTTCCGGATAAGGGGTGGGCCGATTTTCACGAAAAAGGAAACTTGATGTAGACCTCATAGCAGGGAAGAACCATGCTTAGTTTCGTTTCGATCGTATCGATAGTTCCGAAAAAAAACGGTCGCAAAGTTTCGTTAGATCCCAGTTATAAATATATAAATATATATCGTACTTTTTTATGACCTACATTTTTCAACTCAGGGTCTCAGGATCGATGCTCTTTGAGCGAAAATTCCGAAAAATTACGAGGTCGTACCGTCTGCAATAGGTAGATATTTCTTCGAAATCTACCTAATAACGGATACAAATCAGAACCATCCTCTCCTTTTGATGTGAATTGCCTCTCGATACAGTGAGGAACAATACAGCAAAATTTTGATTGCCTAGTAAGGAATGTATCGAAGGTTTGAAACTAGCTGTGTCTACAATTGGCCCTACTCTTGCTAAGCTGAATAGCATCAGTTGTCCAATTTTCAAGAAGGCAAAGTTACAAATTTAGATAATTTTTTATCTAAAGTTTGAATAAAAGTTTTTAGTAATAAAGTAGTGAAATTTTTAAGTGAAATTCTGTGTAAAATTTTGAGGATATGCTTTTAGAAATTCCTCGACTGTGTTTTTCTCAAGTTTGCAATGGATCACTAGACAAGATACAAATTTAAGCATTCTAATACATATTTTCTTATCAGAATTACACCCAGATGGCGCTTTGTACAAAAAAAATTCCTAAAACAACAACAACAGAAATTACTCCCAAAACTGTTGTAGTGTGTGACTTGATTTACATGCATTCTGATTTTTCTCGAGAGCAGGCAATTCAACTTATTCGTGACCAGTGCTAAATAAAATCTTTGATATATCATTTTATGAGTTGATTAAAAACCAGCAGTTTATGTCGCACAAATCGTGTTTTACGCAAAGTTTTGAAGAAGAAACATATATCAGAATGCTTAAATTCATACCTTGTCTAGTGGTTCATTGGAGTTGGTCAGTGTTGTTCGTTACCATTTGTAAACTGTTAAAACGCTTGTGTACATTGGGAAACTAATAACACATATGTTGTATCTGAATTAGTAAATTGTAATGAATTAGAAATTTTAGTTCCTTATTACAGAATGTAGTCCAAATGGTTGACTATTCCAGTCGTAGATTGCCACCAGACTAGGATTTAAGTCCTGCGGGGATGAAACATAAGATAACCAGAAAAAGCCACTGAGTTTACATGGAAACAGATCCAGTAGCCCAAATTCTGTAAGAGAACACGCCTACATACAAATATATTACCAGGAAATAAGATAATTCAGCCGCAAAAGTCTAATTTCAAAATGGAAAATTTTTAATCAAAAGCGTCTCAGCACATGATCTACGCAAGATTAGCTGAAAGAATGATGGTTAACTTTACTTGTTTTTCCGGGTCTCATCCACCAGTGCGCTTTAGGCAGAGAAAACTGAAAACAGCAAGTTTCTAAAAGGTTGGCAGTAAGCCCATTGACCCTTCATAAGAAGGTTGGGTATTTTTGTTTTAAACTGAAAACAGCAAGTTTCTAAAAGGTTGGCAGTAAGCCCATTGACCCTTCATAAGAAGGTTGGGTATTTTTGTTTTTTTGGTTTAGAGTGAATCGGAATGAATAGTTAAGTTTAATGACACAATCACAGTGTAGGAAATTTCAAATCTTGAGAGGCTCAAGGAGATCACCTTGCACCAATCAAATTTTCTTTCAGCTGCAAAATTTCAGTCTTATGAATTAAATGAAAAATTTAAATTGTGAACTTCAACCTTTTTTTTTTTTTTTACATATTTCTCCGTGTGCTTGCAGTTTGCCTCTTCGATTTTCGTAAATTTCATTCTGATATTTTCAGGTATCTCCTCAAATCTTAATGTGTGAAATTTTCATTTTAGTAATATAATTTGATTTTTCAGTCGATGAAATGGTCAAGAATCCTTTTGAAACACGTTCGGACAGTTTTTACTTCATTGACGAAACTTTAATGATGCACAATAAAGCAGACTATGCTTATGATGGAGGTCTCAAGTGATCACTCTCTTTTATGTGTTACGGGAGCAGCTCTCATGTTTCTAGTTAAGTCATTCTTCTCATTTTGTTTTTCAATCTCTAGGATACAAAGCACAATTTAAATGTATACGACTGAAAATGAATTTTAATATTTTGCCTGCCGTGCAGTTTGAGTCAGATCTATAAGAGATCAGGAACTGACTGTTTAACAGCAATGATAGATCAGTCGTTCATGTCACAGAACTATGCTTGTTACTTACAATTTATCCTGACAGCAGTGTTACCAATTTTCCTTTTTAGCACATCAATGGAATGTTATGTCTCTAGAGGAAAATGGATCAGAAAACCTATTGAATTTCCTCTCTTCTCAGATTCAAATGTTACGAGTGCTCTAGAGCTCACTTTTTCCGTCCAAAGGAAAACCTCAAATCAAGAATTTACTGTTTAAGATATTAAAGAGTGTCTACTGTTGAAACCTCAAACGATTTTTCAACCGAACAGAACATGTACCGATTTTTTAAGTACTGAAGAATCTACATCAGTGCGCTAAGGTCCATTTTTGTAGATGCAGTCACAAATGGAAAATGAGGAATTACACTTCTTGGCTCACCTGTAAAAGCTCCCATCTACGCAGGGAAAAAAAAGGTACATACGCGCCAAGTTTAAGAACACGCACCAGGTTGTATATGGGGGAAAAAATGAGCTGGGAGTAGTTATGATTTTTATTAGTTATAAAGTCTCTTTGTTAAAACTCCAAAGTCAAGAAAAAATGTTTTAAACATGAAAAGAATCTAATTGAAAGCGTATTTTCACTAGGTGGGTGGATGATAAGATGTGGTATTTTATTTTGACCCTATCATAATTTTTCGGACCAACATTGGGATTCACCAGACTGATAGGAGGTGAAACTCTTCCAAACGTTGGAGCCAAAATATAATCCTACAATGTAGGGTTTAAAAATGACCTGATGAAGATGATGGCATCCTACCAGCATCAATTTCGAAAGTCTAAACTCAAATGTTTACCAACCCGATTATGATCTTGCCACCATTATCGTGGCATTTTGGCTCGACCGATCATCAACGAAAATACGCTTGTTATGTTATGACCATTTGTTGTGTATTCTTCATTACCTGTCGTCATTTTTTCCTCTGCTTCATACATGTAATTGCTGATAATGTCTAACTAGCTATGTATATGAACACCAGGCCAAATCGCATACCTAATTACACACCATCAGCAACTACGAGGCAGAGGAAAAAATAACAGGTAATGTAAATAGTCAGTGACTTATGTCCTTAATGTTGAGTCTCACGGAGAAGTAAAACTTCGAACATCTTGTTCTCGGTTCAACCTTGATGCACCTCTGTTAAACCTGGTCCATATTTGGTTTCTAACCAAGCCAGAAGTATTAGCTCCCAATTACAAAATTTAGTTCAAGTAAAAAACCATAAATAGTATTGGGTGCGATGGTAACCAATGTTCTGCCGAAGTTACAAAGGAGGAGTGTCGTGAAGGACTGCAATCGGCCCAACACCGAATGCTTCTAACCCCAGCATTTTTTGACAGCAGAGGGATCCCTTCAGTGAGATGTGTTAACACGGGTTTTAATGCTACAAATTACTATTTTTCAAGTTTAATGTCGTTTTTAGACATGAGTGCAAGCCAGTATGAGGCTGCAATATGAGTATGTTATTCTTATTATGGAAGGAAAAATCCACAAATAAATCCCCCTGTACTCCTTTGCCTTCTGAAAAGACAAAGACTTTGAAAAAAAAAAGACAGAACTGACAGACAGAACAGACAGACTGGAGAAAAGACAATAAACGAAACAAAAAAGATCACAAAGTAATAATCATTTTCAGCGTTCAGACTCAAATCTACAGCAATATATTTCACTGAAGGGTTTCTATGACAGGCCAAAACCAATTATGTCCTTAAAATATACACCCTCTCCTGTCAAAAAACGCTGGAGTCTAAGGAGTCCTGGGTAGGATCGATCTTGTCCTTAACAACACCTCTTCTTCCAATGTTCACAGAACTGGTCGGCCCTGAAGTTTCGGAAATTTGCAAAAGTGGACCGAGCCAAACTAGCAAAGCTCTAGCGCACAAGACAATCAAGTCTGGTATTCATTATGAAGTAATACTAATCTTGCTCAAGAAAACCCTAGTAGCAATGACCTTTTCAAACATTTTTCATAAACTCTTAAACAACTTTAGATGTTCACATTAGGAAACCCTTTTTGGCTTTTTTTATAGTAATTTACGATAAGGAAAATTTAAGGAAAAAAGTGTTAAAAAAAGTCTTAGAATATCACTGTACTTTTTTAACATTTCTTCTATTATTTTGACCGTTGAAAAACTATTGTTGATATTTTAAGAGTTTTTTAAACACTTTTTTACTTTTTTACCACTCGTAAATTTTACATGAAGTAATAGCTAAAAAAGGTTTCCTAATACGAACATTCTAACAGGTTTTTTAAGAGTTGTCTTTCTGAAATTGTTAGGTTTTTTAAAAGTTGTTTTAACAGTCATTGCTACTGAGGAAATAATCTCATCAGAAGATTGGGTTTTAGTTGGCCTTGGGCCAACTTATTTTTTCCCTAGCCTTGTCTTTTTTGCCTGAAAACTTGCTAGGTTGACTCACAATCCCCCTCACTAGCACAACTTAACTTTTTTATACTATGTGTTATTCTACCTGGGCAAAAGTGAGAGATATGTGACTTGCACTAATTTATCGTTGACTGTTTTATAGCTTTAATCTTCTCTCCAAGGCAATTGCAATGATTTCATATTTTACCCAAGGAGGCCCTTGGTATTTGTGTGATGATGGTTCAAGATTTTACTGTGTTTGTTTTTAACTTCTGTCAATCACTTTAATTTGTAAGGTTCTTTTAAATGCAACAAGAAAGTAACAGTTTGTTAAAATAATACTCGAAAAAACTGATGATTCCAATGGATCAGTCCATTATACACATTACAGGCGAAAGCCGACTGGCCCAGCAGGAAATCGGCAAGTAGTTGATGGACCAGTACCCTGAGTAAGCTGATAAAATGCGAGGAAATAAGAAAATAGGTGAATGAAAAAGGAAAAGCAGAAGATAAGAAATAAGAGAACGGGAAGGAGCAAGAAGTAAAATACACCAGCTCAAGCATGATGTACGGACAGGGTTTGCACAAGTCCGGAAATAGTATTGATTTTTTAAGGGCGATCCAGAAGTACTGAAAAGGTGCGGAATTCTGCAAGAAGGTCCGGAATTTTTGTCATTTTTGTCGAAATTTGAGCAAGAAATTCAAATTTTTCAAATTTCATCAATTGGAAGTACTGAAAAAGTATTGAATTTTACTGTTGAGGACCGGAATTTTTTATGAATGTACTGAAAAAGTTCTGTAGAAGTAGGTACTGATTTTTGGCCAGCCTGTTTTAGTGGACACCCTGACAGACCAGAATATGTACATTTTTGACCCTCGTGAAAAGCTTACAAAGATGGGCCAAAGTAACTTTAGGTGGGCCTGTCGATGACTCATTTTTTAAACTCTAGTTGGACTCTGACCAGCTCACTAAAAGAGATCGTTTGTTTTACTCAAAGGTGCCTGGCCCTATCCTGGGGTCAGTAGGTGGATGACTTTTTGCTGAGCCTCCATGGCATAGCTATCAATTAAAAGTACATAAACCGCTAGACAATGGGATAGGCTGAAGTAAAAAAATATGTCTCTCCAATTATGATGTTGCAAATCTTCGCTTTTGTTTCATTATTTTGGAAGAAAACCAATTGACAGTTTTTCTTGAAATTTCCTGATAGTTATTTCCTACATTCCAAAATACTTCTGGAAAATTTGAAAGTGGTATTTTAGTTTTCTTTCTTTTACAGAAAATAAAATCTAATCAGAAGAGTTTTAAATTTTGAAATGAGTTGGTCATTGAGTTTTGAGTAAATGTGTTGACTTCTATGAATTAACTTTAAGTCATCGGTTCATTCCAACAGAGTCCAACAAAGCTGACAGTTTGGCATCGGGTAATTCTGTTGTTTCTGAAAGGTCCCAGACATTTTACTTCAACAAGGCATCTTTACATTTGGTCAAACAACCTTACTGCTAGCTTCGCAAGTTTTATGTGGTACTGCATGCCTATCTCTAGCAGTGAAAGCCCTATTTTAAAATAGTTCAATCATTAAAATAAATGTATCACTCTATTGAGTGCTCTTTTTTTTCCTTTAACTGTAAGACTGATCTCTATCCTAAGGTTTTCAGAAGATGGTCTCATGTTACATTTGCTAGTCTGAATTCCACCTGTCATCTTTTCTTTTACTACTTACTATAAATGAATTTTTCCTGCATTAACCCAACTAATTCAATCCCTCATGAGTGAACTCAGATTGGTTCCGTTGTTAGATGTAAAGTGCAATCTTTAAATAAATTTTTTTGTTACTTATAAGTTCGAATTTCGTATCTAGCCTGCCTTTTTTTTTTCATCTGCTACAACTCCATACATCTATTCGGAAAATTGATGCAGTCGCATCAAGAAATATAATTATCACTATCGTTCTAAATTTTTGGGATTTTAACATGTGAAAGTTAACTTTCTGGAATTGTTTTACTGTAAATTTCTGAATGAGGTTGGCGACAGTGATAGACAGGATAAGACGGAGGTCCTAGGATGCTTGGGTAGCTTTTGAATAGCAACATTCAGGAATGAAACAATTAGATTAGGCTGTCTCAGTTTGATTCGAGTTGTAATTTATGCTCACAACTATACAAGCCCAACTCCAAATTTTGAAATGACGGTCCACCTCCTTTAGGAAAAGAAGCATGGAAATCAATTACGCATGGTCCTGAGGCTTCCTGAGCTGAGATATAAGTGTTTTTGACCATTTGCAGCACAGTGAATAATCCATGATTATACTGATTGTGAGCACAAGATTACTCCTGGAGCATTTTCGACCTGAAGTTCGAACTCCTCGACCCATTTTAAAGGGGACTAACTTCTTATCAGCCCACTCAGAGAACTTTAAATTTCGCCCCCAAAATTTTAGTAGAGAAAATGTATCATCAATGGTGTAAGTCGGCAACCACGTATCTCGTTTGCGGTGTTTGAAAATCTCCGCTTCTTTTTTACTTGTTTAAAGCAAAACAAATCGGCATCATTCCTTTAGGTTATCGCAAAATTTTCTTTGCATTAAGGAGAAAAATCACGGTAGCTCTTAAGAATTACCGTTCAGTAGTTTTCCATTTAAAAAATAAAATATGACAGGAAGTCTGCCACATCGCAAACCAAGATACGTAGTTGCGGACTTACACTGTCGACATGTACAGTACATAGATGTGCAATTCCTCAAAATAGATGTAGGAATGTTAGGTTTTCATAAACAGTACGGACAACCATTAGCCATTTTAAAGCATAAAACTATTTAGAATTTTATTGGGCCATTTTACACTTTGATTTTTACAAAACATACAAAGGTACAAAAGATGTCTTTGACAATTAGAAAAAAAAAGAATGAAAAAAACCTTCTGAATTTGAAATACAGTTGAAAAAACCTAACCACCTAAACAAGTTGAATCGTACTGTGTTATAGCACTGAGTTAATATTTTAATGAGAAGTGCTCCAAAAAATGAGAGGACAACAATTTTGGAAATATTTTACGTTATAAGTATGACAGAGATTTACAACTCGAGCTACAATCATGTTGCACACCTGTTATTGAGTTTTAAAGCAGATAGGTTGAATTTCTACAGTCAATCTTCAGCAATTACGAAAGTGATAATTCACTGTTGTTCAGTAGCAAGCACTAGACTTCTTTAAATTTTCCTTCGTTTAAAGAACTTAAGGGAAATATACAACGTTAAATAATTACAACTATTATTAACCTTAAAATTAATTTGGTATAAGTATATAATTCGGTAAATATTATAGGATCTAAAGACCATAAATACGACTACTTTGCTGGCTTCAAAAATGATAAACTTTTTGATATAATCGAATGATTTGGAAAATTAGTCCTCATCTCTATACGGTTGGAGAATCAATTCGCAAATTCTTGACAAAATATGTGACGCTTTCTGCTTGAGCTGATTGTAAGGCTTTATTTGCCACCAAATTGAAGTTTTTAAAGGTTTTGCTTCTCTGAAGCATTTCAATGACCAAAGCGCGAAACCACTTACCTCCGTTTGCGATGTTGCAGATTTCCTGTCATAATTTATTTTTTCTTCTGAAAACTAGTCAACATAATTTCTCGAAAACTTCTCTGATTTTCCGTCCCTGTGAGCAGTTAATTCTGTATAGATTTCAAGCCAGAAAATTGGCTTGTTTCTCTCGGAAATAATAAAATGGGAGCAGAAATTTTTAAACACCGCCATGAAGATACATCGTTTCGCACTTCATCCATCGATTTAAATTGATTCACACAGGTCAATGGGAACAAAACAAGAGTTCATACTTGAGAGGCAACTAAAATACGCATAAATACAGATGAGCTTCACTCGGCAATAAGGATAGGAATTCATCTGACAAACGATAAAAAATTCTGTAGCAAAATCGTATATTTTATCACCAAAAAGAAAAAAAATATTAAGTGATTAAAAAAATAAGAATAAACTTAGATAAATATGACTGGAAATGAAACTCGAAACATTTGGTTACAGCGATTCTTATTACTTACAATAAACGATGGAGATATTGGAAAATAAGTGCAGTTTTTTCACCATGCAGGGTTTAGGACAGTCGCAAAATATACTTGAGTACATAACTCAGTGCTTTTAGTTATAAAATAAATAAGAAACATAGGACAAGACATATTGCACTTGAAGGAGGCCAAAGGAGGATCAAATTAAAAGAAGCAACCGAGTGTAAGTAATCTTATGAATGTGCAGAAAATTTGACGGCGTGTTATTCGAAGTGAATGGTGAATATTTCGCACAATAATTGTAATAACCATAATTATTAAGGTTTAATAGCAGGCTTAGGTCATATGCACTTGGCACAGGACTGTATTTTGAATCACTTGCACCCTCTGTTGTGATCTGAAATTGAATAGAGATAAGCAAAACAGAGACATCTACATGGGAGTGTTTCAAAATCACATCTCATACATGTATTTTAATTTTTTGGTAGGGTATCAACCAACATCCCCACTCGAAAATTTTTGCAACTTTTCTTGCCCATTTGAAGGTTATTGCCACATTTTAAGCAAAAACTTTAGTTGGTTTCCTTCCGAAAAATTAAAATAAAAAATGAGATTTTGAAACACCTCTATGTAGATATAACTGTGTTGCTTAATTCTATCCAATTGGTGAACGCTCTGTTCACAAAAGCACAAACAACTACTGACTTAAATGTGTTTGTGACTGATTAATTTTTTCAATTGGATAAGAGGTTATCAAAAATTTGAAAAAAAGTAAATTTCAGGGGAGAAGTTAAACAGAATTTTTCCTAATTGTGCAAGTTTCCCTAAGAAATTGATACTTGTTACTTCTTATTATTATCGATCAATGAGCAATGTTTCAAGATGCTGGGAGCAAAAAAAACAGTTCAGGCAAGGACTTAGCGTATGATATCAATGATTTTACAGCACTAACTTACCTGAGACATTTGAAGCAGCTTTGTTGAACAGTGAACTAAAGAAACTTCTTTATTGGATAAATAATACCAGGCATTTATTGGTGAAAAATTATGGAGGAACGCTTTTGTAAATCTTTGAGGCTGACCTACACCACAGCTTTCATTTGAAGGCTCCAATGTGTGAAAAGAAGAAAAGAAAAAGAAAGAACAAAAAAAAGCTACAAGTGTACGTTTCTACATTGCAGCATCGATGCAACAATAGAATATTCACATTACAGCAAGCGATTGCTGCTAGCCAATTCCTCATTTTTAAAGAGTTATGATACAAGGATAAGTAGATTAAGTAATTGAGTAGTGACAAAAAAATTATAGCTTCATCATAAAAAAAATAACTAAGTTGCAATCTAGGAATACAGTTTTGAATTTAAGCATAAATTCCTGTGGGTACTCACTGTCAGTTTACTTCTAGCTAAAATACAAGTAGAAGCCGCTGAACGTTGAAATGAAAAATATAAAGTAGAAATTTGCGAACTGGCATTTGTCCTATGAATAAATAAATAATAAATACTTAGGTGAAAAACTTAAGTAAAATCACAGCAGCTAAAATGAAAAGCTTCAGTAACAGTTGCAGAATGAGCAACTCTTCATCTAAGCAGCTTCTCCACGATGAATTTCAGATGACAAATTTTTCATCCATCCTTGAAGAAGACTGTGAACAAAAAGAAAGTAATGATATTACACAATAAAAAACAAAAACGAACACAATTATTTACCAAAAATAAACTTCGAAATTTTGATGGCATGATTTAAAAGATAAGGTATTAAGGTGATTCGATGGATGCCACATTTTGTGTCAGAACGACATGCGATATATTGCATTGATTGGTTCCATTTTTTCAGCTACTTGTCATTTTTCTCAAATTTTGAGAGTACAATTCTGTTGTTGAGGGACTGAAGAATTTACTTACTAAGTTTGAAAAACAAATTCAACGTAATAAAGGCGTGGTTTTTTCAGAGGAAAACTATCGCATTCGAGTGCAGTTTTGATATCAGTGTCAAATGCGATATTTTTCCTCTGAAAAAACCAAGCCTTTATTACGTTGAATTTGTTTTTCAAACTTGGTAAATGAATTCTTTAGTCTCTTGACAACAGAAGTGCGATCTCAAAATTTGAGATATATGGCATGTAGCTGAAAAAATGGAACCAATCAATGCCATATAACGCATGTCATCCCGACACAAAATGTGGCATCCATCGAATCACCTGAAGACCAAATGCGCATAGCCCGAATTTTGTTGGCAGATTTGCGTTTGGCCGCAAGTTGAGGCAAGAATGTCGACTTCACCATTTAACTGCTGATTAATGGTTGGCACAGTTAAAAGACCATGGATATCTCAAATTGTGATGTAGGAGCTCTCCACTCATGTTAATTTTTTTAAAGGAAAACTAATCAACAGTTTCTATTGAAATTTTCAGGGAATTTTTTTCAATCCTTCTAAAAATAAAATACAATCAGAGATTTTTAAACATTGCAATTGAATTATGTTATTTTTCCCCCATTAACCATTCATATTTTCTTGGGTTACATCAGCTCCTTGGATAATAATCCATTCAATAAAGATAGGTACTCTCACAGTTGAAAAAAAAAAAAAAAAAAATTATCAAAAATTTGCCAAAAACTTTAAGTACAAGTCAAAAACTTACCCAACATATTCCTTTCGTGGCAGTACTAAGATTTGTTCTGGCTTTTTTCCATCTGGAAAAAAAATTATAATAAAAATAAAATTGACTGAGAATCTTGAGTGAAGCTGCAAGTTTAAAAGGTTGATGAAGACAAAAATATTCAGAAATACACGGAACAATTGTAAGAGCCTCCACAAAGTCTCTTGATGATACATTGCAGCGACTTTTCAAAAACTTGAGTTCAAAATCAGGCAATACTGTCGGACCGAGGGAAAAACGCCGTATGAACCTAAGGGCGTTGGCAAATTTCCTTTGCTAAAATACGAATTTATTGGAAAATCTGTAAATATTTTTCTTCCGATTTTTTCAGACACTTTTGTTCGCACTGTAATCTAATATATGAAAATCAAGGAAAACTATGCCTAACTTCTTTCCAATATAAACATTTCATCGGAGGAACATTGGCAACTCTCGAATGTTCATGCGGCATTTTTACTTGGCATGGCAGCATAGAAACCAATGAGACAGGGTGAAGCAATAATACAAGCAAGCAACACAGCCATGCTTAGGAAAAATACCTTATGAACCATGGGATGTTGCCAAATTTTCTTTGATAATACACGAGTTTCCGAGAAAACTTGTCACCATTTGTTCACTAATTCTTCAGAAAACTTAGCTTGCAGTTTGGTTCCAAATATCTGAAAATTTTGAGTAAAAATATTCATAACTTTCTTCAAATGTGAATATTTTATGAGAGGAACTTTGGCTCTCATGCAAAGTTTTCTCTTGGATCGGCAGTTCACTGTTCATTGACAACAGCATCATCTATTGCTGGTACATTGAAAGACCTCACAAATGCTGTGATGATGTCATCTGACTCATATACGTTGTTTGTGGAGAGAATTCAGCTTAGCACAACACTATACAAAGCATTCGTAAAGCTAACAACTTAGAATATTGAGTAACATGGGTTCTTTCCAAAATTCGAGTCAGTGATCAAGGCAGCTACGCTCACCCGATTTCAGTGATTAAGGGAGAAATTCAGCTTATTTTGCTGGCGAGTCGCTATTTGGTTGAACAAGGGTTGCTCCGGCACATTGTCAGAAAATTATTAGTGCTCCGTTAAGGCCAATCCTAGGTTATTGCGACCACTGTGTTTAAAAGTGAGTCTACCCAAATGAGTTTCTACACTTTCAAAGTGCCACGGAAGATCTCGGGATGTCAGTTTGACTTTGAAAGTAAATGCAAGAATCAAGATGGCAGACCTTCTGTTGCAGTCTAAAAGTGCATGAACTTATTTGGCATGGACTCTAATTACAATTTACCAACAAGAATGCTAAGAAATTCGACTATAGTGTGAGAAAACTTTTAGGAATAGGCATTTTAGCTTAATCTGTTCCCCTTTCTCTAAAAATAACCAACAAGCCGAACCGAGGAGCTTGGAGGACAAGCCGCATAAGTGTAGTGCAGTGCAGAAAAATTGAGCTATTAGTGATTTCAAGTAAAACTAGTCTTAATGCATATTCTATGAAAAATTTGCTCCCAAATTTCAAGTTTTAAGCATCAAAAAGTCACTGATAATTTTACCTTGGTTTTCCCCGATCACGTTGAATTTTTAGACTTGGACAATAGCTATTTCGATCTCCTTACAATCATCATCAGGTCACTACACTAAAACTTGACTCACTAGAGGTGCACCCTACAAATGTTTTTAAAAAGTTTTTTAATAATAGTGTTTTACTATGTAATGTTCGTTTTTTGGATGTTGCACATCCAAATTTTAGTGTAGTGATCTGATGATGATCGTAGAGAGATCAAAATAGCTATCGTCTAAGTCTAAAAAATCAACGTGATCAGGGAAAACCAAGGAAAAATTATCAGTTTCAATGCATCCCAATAAAAACAGCTTCAACTTCAAATTAATCAAAAAGTCAGTTTGAACTTTCTTTCCGCCATAAGGATCCGTGTAATTTATCATCAATCCGTGTAAACAGCAAATAGTTCTTGCTTCCAACCAAAAAATTGTTAGTTTTAAGGGGAAATAATTGTGCAAATTTTAATACTGTGCATGTATTAAGTATTTTGGAGAGAAAAGAAGAAGTTGCACGATTTTGAAAACACTGTAATCGCTGGTTCCTTTTTGATAGATGCAATCCACTTATTTCACAAAATGGCAAAAACTGTACGTATGCGACTTGTCCTCCAAGCCCCTCAATTTAGCTCTATATACCTGAAAGTGTTATGGTTTGAAAAAGTAAAAATCAAAAGTTGCGAAGACTGCTATTTTAAAAACTTTAAAGATAAGGCTTAGATGCAGGCCTGGTG